TCCAGCAGCATTTCAGCAGAGTTATTATATTCATCGTCTTAGAGCAATCAAGTGAACTGTAAAATTTCTGGTTAAGAAATAAATGTGCCTAAGCAGTAGGTCACTATTTGCTTACCTATTTGCGAACTGTTAATTTTATCATCTCAACCAAATATGGCATTCTGATTACACAAATTCCAGAATTTCCTTATTAAAATTAAATGATAAAGGTATATCTCTAATATTATTGAATTTTTTTCTTTTCTCCTTCTATCTTTTATTTATTTTTTATTTTTTTATTGGATAAACTTTGGCAAGAATATTCGCAGGCTGTTCTTATGATACCAATCATGCATCTTGGTAGGTTTGATTGAATTAATCTAACATGACACTAATTAAATTGACTTATAAAATGTTCCTTTTGCTTGTTTTCTTGTTTATGTTATTTGTGAGATTATCATGCATTCTTTTCTTTTTCTTTTGTCCACTCAATACTTCAAATTCAAATTTCATGCAGCTACCATTTTATTTAAGTTAATTTGCTATTAGATAAATAATAGGTGTCATTCCTTAAATTCTCTTTTTGAAGTGCAGCACATTCTTGTATTTTAAATATACAATAATACTACATATCCTCAAAATTTTGTCTCGTCCATAGATATTGTGTCTGTGAGTTTAGTTCTTTTAGCACTTTATAATTACTCCTTTTAAAATGTGTTGCTTTTATGATTCTGATTCGAATGGCATTAACGAAGAGTTTGGTCTTTTCTTACGACTGAATCTTCGTTGGTATGAATAATATGAATTCCACTTTTCTTGTCACTTTTGAGTTTATAATTATTTCATTTGGGGATTCTGAGTTTTGTCGTATAATTACCGGTAAATTTGTTGTTTTTCGGGAGGGTTCTACATATATTCCATATAGTTTGTGCACATTTTGCTTCTTCTTTAGTCCTGTCACCTTTGTTTTTAATACACAACCATGGCTTTTGTTTGCATCCTCTCTCTTGTATTTCGGTCTCTCAACATTTGGCTTTCAATTTTGTTTTAGTAAGTTAACCCAATCTTATTAATTATAATTTCCCAGTATTTCTTCTTGTAGTACTATATGGTTTGGTTTGTCTTTACATCAATTTAAATTTATCTTGATGCAATAAATATATGTTGTCTAAATCACCAAATTACTTCTTTCAGCAACAGGCTAGTAGTGGGATATGCTTCTACATTTGCCATAGTTAATATATTCTAACAAATGATTAAGTGTATACCAATATGCATGTGGCAAAACAAAAGGGGAAAATAAATAGATGAATGCATAAATGATTGATAATTGCTGCAAAATCTCTAATTCTGTAGTTGGTTAGTTTTAAAATTTACATTTTTTGTTCGTTTTTCCACTATTCCATATATATATCATCAATCTGTGTACTACTTCAGCCATTTATCATTAAATTTCTAGTTAAATTATTTTTTGCAGTACTTCAGAATATTGCATCATTCAAGCTGTGGTATATTTACTTAATGTGTGAACTGTAGAAGAGTGTATATATCTTGTAAGCCTTCTCATTACTAGTTTTTCTGGTAAGCATTTGGTCCCCAACCTAGCTATACAAGAAAAACTCTAATCATGAACCAAGCTAGTTTGATCCTTGACTAATAATCTTAGCAATAAAAGTGTTGTTTCGGCAATTCAACAATACATAGAGTACTTCAATGCATTTTTATGTTTTGCATTGTGTGTGTGTGTGTTTGCGCGTGCAAAACTGTATCAAATATATATATATTTTTTAATTTATGTTGACTATATATTTAATTGGTAGCTTGATGTTTTCTCACATTTTTGCATTACCTTTGCAGAGGCCACACCAAAAGCTATCTTGCAGATAATGAATATGAGGGGACTGACTCTTTACCACTTGAAGAGTCACTTGCAGGTTTATTATTTGGCTATTTTAATCCAATTTTTAAGAGTACTTCAAATTGAAAGTGAGGATTTAATTTGATCACAATGCTTTCATGATCTGTGTTTGGCAGAAGTTCAGACTTGGTAAGCCCGTGGGGAAGCTGTGGAAGGTGTCACTCAAAGATGGTAGGTTTTTGTTTAACCCCACACTTCCTCTACATGCTTGTTCCAATTATGCAAAATATTAGGAAATTTTTTTTAATTCACACTTCGAACGAAAACAAAAACTATAGAGAAGAGACTTAATTTTGAAACTCATACAAAAACTAATCAACCAATTCCCATCTCACTAGTTTCTACTGTTTTAACGTTTCAAATAATAATAATAATAATAATAAATGCTTTCTACTGCATGTTTTAGAATTTTAAAACAACATTGAAAGTATGTTCATTAAGATTACTTCAAACAATTAATGTCGCAGTAGGACAATCAAATTCTAACAAGGAAAAGAAAAAATACTACTAGAAATGCTATGGAGGACATGGATTCCTTAGTTTGAAGAGATTATATATATGAGGCAAATTTCTATATTTGTTCTGAAAATTTTAATTAGCAAAAAGCAGTATGGCCGTGCAGTGAAGTTGAAACCTATATTCTTCTTTCATCATTAATGTATATCAGATGAGTAAACTTCAACTCCTGTTTAAGCCGAACATTAATTTTTCTGCCCCAGGCTACAAAGAGAAAGCCACCTCTGCTGCACCAGTCTTGGAGGGCTCAGGATCTTCCAGGAGCTCGGTGCCATCAACGATTATGAATGAGTAAGATATATAAAAGTCTCTTAATTATCTGTTTGGTTTACATATTCCATTTTGTACAATTATCATTAAGCTAACATTTCCAACCTTTTTTCTTTAGGTCTCCATCGGAAAATGAAAGAAAGCTGCATGTGAAAACTGAGGTAATTTCCCTTTTCTATATTTTAACACAGCTAGGTACAGTTAAATTAGAAGGAATTACTTTGGATCCATTTAAAGCACCTGATTAGTCTATACCATTTGAATTTCTTTGGCAGTAATAAGGAATGCTCAAGAAATAACATTTCTCCTACTACAGTACTAATTAATATATTGTTAGAGTTGAGTAAAAAAAAAAAAAAAAAATGGATCAACCATGTGATTCTGTATGTATTAGTAAAAATTCTATTAGGTCAGCTAGATACCCCAAAACCCAATGAGAATTCCGGAATACCTAGAAGAATCAATTCCATTACTTAAGAGGGGAATTATAATTTTTCGACTTCCACTATTTCATGAACTGAATATTCGCAAATATATTATTGTCGCGCGCAGGCTGAGGATTGGATGGAAATGTATCAGGGTAATACTGCAGAAGGTGGGTACAAGAAAATGGCATTTGGGAATAATAATATTGCATGCAAACAAGTTGCCAATTATGAAAATATTGGAGGTTGCAGTCCTGCACCTAAAGATAATGGCGGTACAATATTCGGACAAGACCTTGCATCTGGCGGTTCAGGAACTAAGCAGTACTCAATGCCAACCTTTCCTTTCTGCGGCTACAACCGGGATGTTTCGTACCTTACTCAGCAGAATACTCATTCTTCTTCTATTCAAGACTATGTGCAGGTTGGGCATTTCACATATATGGCTCGAAATGATCTGTTCCGAGAAGTTTGTGATCAGGAAGAGAGTACCAGGTTGAGGGAGTCAGAGGAGGACCCTGCCAAGACCTATCTGAATTTGGACAATGAGGTGGCTGGAAACATGTTCAACCCCCTTGGCGGAATCACTGGGGATGGGGGCTTTCCTTGAAAGGTTGCATGCTGCTGGACTATTTGATATATATATATATATATACACACACACACTAACTGCATGAAATAGTTGAACTCATCTTGTTATCTACAATAATGTTATGATATGAACTTAAAATAGACTTTTACCTACTACTTTCTGAATTTTTGGCAGCCAATTTAAACTTAATTGCATAAAATTGTTATATATATATATTTCTTTGATTAGGAATTGCATGAAATTGTTGATGGCACCTAAAGTTACTTTTTAGCTATAGAGGTTTTGACACCACGGAACTTCTGTGAAAGTCTCAGTCAATTTGATACTTTTTATATACGAAAAAAAAAAAAAAAAAAATTACTTTTAATTGGTACAAAAAAAATAATTTTTTTTTTATCGAAAAATAAAAAATAGTTTTTAAAGCTAAAGATTTTGACGCCATATCGCCCACTTTTCAACAATCAACACACTTTTTACTTTTTACTGAAAATTTTGTTTCATTGAATTTTGAAAATTACATGAAGAAAGTATTCATTTTGAAAGGAGCTGCTTTGTGACAAAGGCCCTTGAGTGATTTTGCGTCATCATCGCTTTGTGTTTTTTTTTTTTTTTTTTTTTTTTTTTTTTTTTGAGAATTAGTGAAGAGACTGTTTTATCCCTTAAAAAAAGCGTGCAAAGGCCTTGGCCACATAAAGTTGAATCTCCAATGAATAAGAGTTGGCTCCCCATTTTGTTTGCCTCTTTGACTAGTTATCCATTTTTCACTTTAAAAAGAGTGGAAAAAAAAAAATCCTACACGAAAAAGAAATAGAAGTAAAGCATAAATAATTTGACTAATTTGATGATAAGAAGAAATTATACATTTGAGGTGAGCAAATTTGTATGAAAGGAAAGCAAAATGATTAAAAAAAATTGAATTGTTAACCTCGTCAATTAAAAAAAAGTAGGCTTACCTCTTGAAAGGTAAAAAAAAAAATGATATAAAAATAATATTATTTAAACTTATTTTTTAAATTGAAGGAATTTTTATACATTTGATTCTATAGATATATATTTTCAAGGCAAAAAAACATATTCATATTTATTTTCTTTTTCTTATATGGTGACTTAAATTACCACTAAACTACATAGTCTTTAGTAATTCACCGTCAGTTAAAAAATAAAAAATAAAAAATAAATAAATAGGGGTAGGGCTAAGTGGCTAACTCTCAGTCTTTTAATTATATTTTCTGATGTAGAGATGTAATTTTTATGCTAACGTGGCAAAATTTAGTGGCGATTGTATATTACGGGAAAGAAGTCACAGGTAAGGTGCGTAGCCATATACTTGAAATGCAACGGTGGTGGGCTTAACTGGGTTTTACACTCAAGAGGGTTCTGCTACTTTTCTCCTCCTCGTGCGCTGCAAATTGGGTCGTCTTTTATGCAATTCTGGTTAGTCACAATATCTATATATCTACAGGTCAGTCCTGAGACTCTATTTACTTCTATTTTGAGTTGTTCATATTACCCATTCATATATACACCATCAAGTGCCGTTAAACCCTAATCAATATGTTCTTATATTCATATATTGTGTATATTACCTTTTCATGTGAACGAGTATGAAACATTTTCATTTCTTGCAACTCCCTAAACCCTGATTAACGTACTCACTTTTTCCCCCTTAGTTCTGACTTTAAAAATTCTATCTTTGTTGAATTTCTTGATTTGTTTTTACCTCTGATATCAGAAATGCAATTCGAGGTTTAGGGATTTTATTTTGTTTTTGTTTTGAATTTGATAGGTTAAGCGCTATCTTGTTTTGAAATGGCTTTCTCACGAGGAGCAAAATACCCTGTTGAGATCCTATATAAGAGGTTAAGTAGTCCTGTTTGTAGTGGACATGGTTATTACTCTACTCGGGCATATGGGGGAAGTTCCATTGCTAAAGCAAGAGAAACTACAAGCTCACTTTCTTCTAGTTATGCCACTTCACATTGTGCTTTTGGAATGTTTTTGAGAAGATACACGGTTGAAGTTCCTGCTTCGGAACATACCAGTCTTATAAAGCAGTTGAGGGAAAGGACAAGTGCTCCTATAAAAGATGTCAAGTCTGCTCTTATTAGTTGCAATTGGGACATTGGCAAGTCTTGTTTGTTTCTTTGCACTTTTTTCCCCTTTTCTTTCACCATTAACTTATGCTACACAATCTTTGAATTTTCATTTTACAATATAGAAGCTTTGTTGCAGAGGCTGCGCAGACGGAACTGAGGAAAAGAGGAATTGTTCTCGCATCAAAGAAGTCCACTCGAACTGCTGCTGAAGGTCTGCTTGCCCTAGCTCAGAATGAGCACAAAGCTGCTGTTATTGAACTCAATTGCGAAACAGACTTCGTTGCAAGGAATGATATATTTCAGTACTTGGTTAGTATGATGTTTGTATGATCCCCTTAATGGTTGCTTCTAGTTTAAGTTCGAATCAAGTTTTTTTTATTCCTATTTATTTTGTGTAGTCTGCTCATGATTCATCAATAACATTTCTTATAGGCCTTATCTTTGGCAAAGTTAGCTTTGCTGGCTGAAAGTTCTTCTCAGCAGGTTTCTGGGGCCTTTCATGTTGGACCTGAGATTTTGGAGGTGAAAATGCTTTTTAACTTTGTCTTTCATGTCTTTCTAAAAGCAAGGTTTCAGACTAGCTCGTTAACTGAAAGTTTCATGTTGAATTGAACTGTAGTTCTCTTAAAAAAAAATTAACTTTATCATCGTATCCTTATTATCACGAGTAGTCGTGCTTAAAGAACCTCATTTAGTAATTACGTTTGGCAGCCTCCTTGTATTAGTCTCTGTTGGGAATGATTAAGATGCGCTGCTTATAACAAAATATATATATATATATTAAACACTTCTGGTGCAGTTTTGAATCTGGATTTGGACCTAAAAAAAGAAAATTCTTATTAATTATTGTCAATGTCTTTGTATTGCTTGTTAACCTAGTATCAAGAACTCATGTTAATTATACTCGTATGATTTTATATCATGGCACCAACCAACAAATGATTTATTAGTACTTCTATTTGTAACATTAGTTATGTCTATGTGTCTTGCAAACAACTTTTTATAAAGTTAGTGAAAGCGGGGATTTAACCATTCTGTATAATGAAAGATGTATCTGAATTTTTTTTTTGTTTATTGATTTTTAATGAAATTGGAATCCTGGAGGGCCTCCTTTTAGCTTTTTAGTTTCTACAGGATTTGAAGATAAATTTTGACCACCCTAAATTAAGTGGAGAGAAAACAGTTCAAAATGCAATTACAGAAGTGGCTGCAATGATGGGGGAGAATGTCAAACTTAGGAGGGGTTTTGCAATGTCTACATCTTCACATGGCATCATTTCTACATATCTCCACACGAGCCCCCAACCAGGTAGGGTAATTTCACATTGAATTTATATAATGTATGAACATTTGTGCTTATATATATATATATATATATATATATATATATATATATATCATATCTGTGTGTGTGTGTGTCTCTGTGTGTTACTTATTGAATTAATTTTATTTTTTCATAAATCTTTCAGATACTTCTTGAATTATCATTTGGAGTACTGAGTTGATTTTTTTTTTATGATAAACTTATCCAAGAAAAATATATGCTAAAAACTGAGAGAAGTTCAGTCATTGGTCTATTTTAGTTGCTTTTGACTCCCAATTTCAATGCAGGTTTGGGACGTATTGCTGGAATTTTATCTCTTGAAGTAGAGGATGAGACTGCTTCATTGGATGCTCTCCATCATGTTGGATCAGAATTGGCCATGCATGTAGTGGCAGCAAAACCATTATTCTTAACAAAGGAACTTGTTTCTTCTGATGCGTTAGAGAACGAGCGTGAGATTCTCAAGTCTCAGGTACTTTTTGATTTAATTTTTTATATTTGTTGGATTATGTTAAAGTTCGATAATTGTGTAATTTAGCTACAAAATACACCTGATTGAAGACTGGACCCGTACATAAAGCTGTTTCAGTGTATATGTTTATTTTTTATATAAAATTGATTCTATGATAGGATCCTTTAATTATAGTTAAGAGGCATTTTAAACTTCAGTATTTAGTGATCCACTAGATCTTTTAGAAAAATTAACATTTTTGGATTTACTGCATATATATTTGTTGCTTCCAATTGGGTGGTATGTTTTTAAAATATTAGTTAGTTAACAAGGAATCGATGACTATCATAGTTATTATTTAGTTATAGTTGACTGTAGTGTAATTGTGAACATTGTGTAACACCTTTTGACGTAGTTCGTGCAATTTTCGAGAAAAGAAGCATAAGGTCCTTTGCTAGTGTTGGTCTGAATTAATCCAGTATGCTCCGAGGGGTGAATTTGGTTTAGACATAACACTTGAATTTATATGCATCAACTGGCTACCCTAAGACTTGAAGTTACAGTCTGACACTTGACAGTCTGATCTTACATGCACAAAGTACCATATCTGTTTTTTTTTTTTACCTAGATTAGCTTGAAGTTTTAAATTAATTTTTTGGGCAGGTCTGATGCTTTAGTGACGAATTGATGATTGAGTTGTATTTCCTTCGTTTTTCTTGTAGAAAGAAATCATTAAAATTACATTAAACTCTTCTTATGGTAAATTTTATAATTATTTTCAAATTGTTCATTTTTCATTTGGCTTCCTTTGTCAGGCACAAACTACAGGGAAGCCTCAGATGGCCATAGAGAAAATGGTGGAAGGTCGTTTGCGAAAATACTTTGAAGAAGTAGTTCTAATGGAGCAAAAGTTTATTGTGAATGATTCTCTTAATGTGAAGGTATGATGTTATTATACATTTAATTTTTTAAGTTCTGATATCTAGTCTCACTCACATAATATTTGAGGATGATAATGGATCATTGTCTTCGTTTTGTTATTGACATTTTTGTGTTGGGGATGGTGCAATTGGGGGGATGGGGTGGGGGTGTTTGCTTAGGGTTTTAATTGGATTTTTTTGCAAATGGGGGTATTTTTATCACAATATGCCAGGGTGTTGTCCAGTACTTTAAAGTTTAGAAACTTGTCCTGCTTGGAGCTTTTCACATGGTTTATCTTTTCATACTGTATATCTGGATTGCACGCTGCACACATGACATGTACCAGAAGATATGTATTTGTTATCTTCTGATAGTTTAAAATATAACACCTAATAGTTGAGCTTTAGCATAATTTTTCCCAAATGTTGAAATTCAGATGTACAATGACATTCACATATTAAATCTTATAATCATAAGAATATTACCACTTCCAATTTATGGACCACAGTTTTTTTTTTCTTCCCCTTAATTTATGGACCACAGGTTGGTGGTGTATTTTTCCTCTGATGGTTCCACTTGATAAATTACAACCTATGGTGTTGGGTGCCATAAAACTCATGCATATATGCACGTGGAATGATGCCTGCATGGATGTTAGCACTCTTTGTAAATGTATGTCTATTTTATATGAGGGAGATAGTGCAGTTGTAGATTGACGTTTTACGCGAAATTCTACAGACATTGTTGAATAATCTATCCAAGGAAGTGAACTCACCAGTGAAGATTGGAAATTTTTATCGATTAGAAGTTGGAGAAGGAATGCAGAGGTAAATGCTACAAACTTACACAAGTCGTTACCTTTTCTCTCTATTAGAATATTGTAACTGTATTAAATGGTGGCCAAATTTAATAATTTCCAACATTTTTGTTGTCATGTTACATCTGAATGAAGCTTCACGAGTGAAAAGTCTCTATAGCAATTACAATCCTGATTGATGGTTGAAAACCTTTGACTTTCGACGTGAGGGTGAAACAGTATATCTCTAATTGCATATGAAGCTCATAGACCTTCAAAATATTGTGGTTTGTTTTCCTCACTCCCTCTCCATCTCTTTTTCCTCTAATCTCTCTCTCTCTCTCTCTCTCTCTCTCTCTCTCTCTCGGTGTTCTTTCTCTTCCCATCTGTCTTCTGGTACACCTCTCTCCACTTTGTCCTCTCCCTTTCATTCTCTATACTTTCCCTCATAAGGAGAAAATATATTTTCCTATTTGAAGGAGTCTAGAGCAAGTGTCATGGCTGAAGTTTGGCTTGCCAAATTGCATTAGCACTGGCTCCACTAAAAGAACATTCAGTCCATTTTTTAAAATCTATAAAACCACTAATTCAAGAACTATTATAATTGACTATTCCGTGACCACTTTTATAGTCTAAACACGATGACTACCTTTCCTTTTAGGAAATCCCTACTTAACAGAATTGACCAAAGATGTTGGGGTGAATGACACTGAGGAGGAGTGGGTGAGGGAGAAGGGTGTAGAAGTGGGCTCTCTACTGGGTGTTTCTTTTGAGGGCAGGGTGGATGAGGCGATGTGTTTGTTTAATGATGTTCTCAAATCTCATTTTCAGAAAAAGGAGGGTGATAAGGTGGGCTTGCAGGAGGAGAAAGGGGAGACAGTGATGCAAAGTCCAAATGACCTTATCACGTATGAGAGGAGAAATCGGGGGTCCAGATCAGGTGGGAAAGGTGGAGGAAGGGAAGGAGGGTTGGTTATTCCAAGTGTTTCCCAATGAAGCTACAAATTCTTTCATAGAATGTTCGGGGTCTCAATGACCCGGTTAGGAGGAAAGTAGTGAAGTCGGTTATTCGTAAAGGTAGGGGCCATGTGGTGTGCCTCCAAGAGACTAAGCTTGCTTCGATGTCTGACAGTATTGTGAGGAGTCTTTGGGGTGAGAGATTTGTGGAGTGGATTGCTTTGGATGCTGTTGGTCCCTCGGGGGGCATCTTAATTATGTGGGATAACAGATGGGTGTCTAAAGTGGATGCTCAGGTTGGGCGTTTCTCTGTTTCATGTGTTCTTGCTTTGGCTGAGGATGGGGTTCATTGGGTTTTTTCGGGTGTCTACGGTCCTTCGGAGGACGATTTGCACCATTTACTTTGGGAGGAGTTGGGAGAGATTAGAAGTCGTTGGTGTTTGCCTTGGTGTATTGGTGGGGACTTTAATGCTGTTCGTTCTCCGTTTGAGAGGTCAACGGGAGGTAGGTGGACATCTGATATGGAGGCTTTCTCGAAGTTTATTGATGAGTTTGGATTGATTGATTTGCCATTGGTTGGAGGGCCATTTACTTGGTCCAGTGGCCGATCTCCTCCTACCCTTTCTCGGATTGACAGATTTCTTGTGTCCGGGGAGTGGGAGGAGAGGTTCTCTGATGTTGTTCAGGCTACATTGGCTCATCTTATCTCTGACCATGTTCCGTTGATGTTGGATTGTGGCGGTTTGTGCAGTAGGCGCTCTCCTTTCAGTTCGAGAACATGTGGTTGCGGGCTGAGGGCTTTCTGGAGAGGGTCCGTCTCTGGTGGGAAAGGTATGGTGTGGTTGGCACCCCTAGTCATGTGCTAGCAGGCAGATTGCGTCTTTTAAAGGATAATCTTAAGACTTGGAATAAAGAGGTTTTTGGGAACCTTGAATGGAGGAAAAATCGGGTTCTTGCTGAATTAGCGGCTATTGATCAGATGGAGGGTCAAGGGGATTTAGTGGATTCTTTGAAGGCTAGGAGGGCGGAGTGCAAGGCGGAGTTTACTGAGATTGCTGTCTTGGAGGAGATCTCGTGGAGGCAAAAATCTCGAGCTTTGTGGCTTAAGGAGGGGGATCGAAACACTAAAATTTTCCACAGATTGGCTAATGCTCATAGAAGAGGCAATCATATAGGGAGGATTCGAGTCGAGGGGGTCATTTTTTGTAAGGAGGAGGAGATTCGCAAAGGATTCTCAGAATTTTTTGTGAATTTGTTCAACGAGTCTGTTGAGTGGAGACCTTTGCTCGAAGGGTTGCAGTTTGACTCCATTTCTGAGGAGGAGTGTTTGGGCTTGGAGTTGCCTTTTTCTGAGGAGGAAGTTCTGTTTGCTTTGAAGAGTTGCAATTGGGGATAAGGCCCCAGGTCCAGATGGTTTTACTATGAGATTTCTTCTTGAATGTTGGGAAGTGGTTAAAGGAGAGGTGATGGGCACTTTCCATGCTTTCCATTCTCGGGAATCTTTTGAGAAAAGCTTGAATGCCACGTTCATTGCTCTCATTCCAAAAAAGGGAGGTGCTTTGGATGTTAGAGATTTTCGCCCTATTAGCCTGGTGGGTTGCATCTACAAGCTGATTGCCAAGGTGCTTGCTTCAAGGTTGAGGAAAGTGTTGGATGGCATCATTTCGGACTCTCAAAACGCTTTTGTAGGAGGCCGTCAAATTTTGGATTCAGTCCTTATTGCAAGTGAGTGTGTGGACTCCAGATTGCGTAGTGGAACCCCGGGTGTTCTTTGTAAGTTGGACATTGAGAAGGCGTATGACCATGTAAGTTGGAGCTTTCTTCTGTACCTGATGGGGAGGATGGGGTTCGGCGATAGATGGAGGAGATGGATTCATTTTTGTATTTCCAGTGCTCGCTTTTCGATCCTTGTTAATGGTGCTCCTACTGGTTTTTTCTCTAGTTCAAGGGGCTTAAGACAAGGAGATCCCCTTTCCCCTTCTTGTTCTTGTTTGTGATGGAGGTCCTTAGTAGATTGATAAGAAGGGCTACCGAGTTGGGTCTTTTAAGAGGCTTTCGGGTGGGCAGGGAGGCAGATTCTCAGTTGGAAATCTCTCATTTGATGTTTGCTGATGACACTTTAGTTCTTTGTGATGCAAATGTTTCTCAGATTAGATATTTGAGATGTGTTTTGATTTGGTTCCAAGTTTTTTCCGGCCTTAAAGTGAATGTGGGAAAAAGTGTTTTGGTGCCGGTTGGGGAGGTCCCTGAGATTGAGACTTTTGCTGATATTCTTGGCTGTCGTACTGGTTCATTTCCCATTTCTTACTTAGGATTGCCTCTGGGAGCTCCTTCGAGGTGTGTGGGGATTTGGGATCCAGTGGTGGACAGATTTGAGAGAAGGTTGGCGGGTTGGAAGAAGCAGTATCTCTCCAAGGGCGGTAGGGTCACGCTGATTAAGAGCACCCTCTCTTGTCTTCCCACGTATTTTATCTCTCTTTTCCAGATTCCCTCTTCAGTTGCGGGAAGGATAGAGAGGTTGCAGCGTAATTTTCTGTGGGGAGGTGGAGGTGAAGAGTTTAAGTTTCATTTGGTGAGGACCAAGTTTGCAGGCCAATTTGCAATGGTGGGTTAGGTCTCCGTAAATTGGTGCCCTTTAATAAGGCCCTCCTTGGGAAATGGTTGTGGAGGTTCGGGGTGGAGAGACATCGGCTTTGGAGGAGGGTTGTGGCATGTCGTTTTGGGGAATTGAGAGGAGGGTGGAATTCTTTGGAAGTTAGAGATCCTCGGGGGGTGGGGGTTTGGAAATTTATTCGGAAGGGTTGGGATGATTTTTCCAAGCACATTCGGCTTCGTCTCAGAGATGGGAGGAGGATTCGCTTCTGGGAGGATGTATGGTGTGGAGATTTGCCTCTTGCCCTCGCCTTTCCTCAGCTTTACAGGATTGCTATGGATAAGCAGGCCATGGTGGTTAACTGTTATCATATTGATAATGGAAGACTGGTTTGGGATGTTCGATTCAGGCGTTCCTTTCAGAATTGGGAGATCGAGGAGGTCATTCGTTTCTTGGAGTTATTATATCGCCAGAGGATTGTGGAGGAGGATTCAAACTGTTGGTCTTGGATTGCAAACTCTCAGGGGCGCTTTGAGGTGAGGTCTTTCTTCAAGTGCCTCTCTTTTGTTCCTGGAGTTCGTTTCCCTCGGAAGTCTGTTTGGCGATCCAAGGCTCCTCTTAAGGTGGCTTTCTTTGTGTGGACTTCGGTCCTGGGTAGGATTTTAACCCAGGATAATCTGAGAAGGAGAAGCCAGGTGGTGGTCAACCGTTGCTCTATGTGTCTTAGTAATGAGGAGTCTATGAATCACCTTCTTATTCATTGCCCTTTGGCTAGAGAGTGTTGGGTTTTGATGCTTGGCTTATTTGGTGTTTCTTGGGTTATGCCTGGATCTGCTAGAGGGTTGATTGAGGCGTGGAGAGGTTGCCCTGTGGGGGCTCTCAGTCAGGATGCGTGAAGGGTTACGCCGCATTGTGTGTGGTGGTGTTTATGGCTTGAAAGGAATAGGAGATTCTTTGAAGGAAAGGCTTTGTCGATTTCGATGCTTAAATTTTCGATTATTTCTACTCTTTTTTGTTGGGTTTCAGGAAGAGATCATTGTTCTTTGGAGGAAGTAGTTGATTTTTTAGCCTCTTTGAAGGCTTGAGGCCTTTGTGGTCTTTTGTATTTGCATGGGTTTCGCTCCCCTTCTGAGCGTTTTTTTATTAAATTTTTACTTATCAAAAAAAAAAAAAAGATGTGCAATTTATTCACTTTTTTTTTTTTTTTTTTCCCTAAATGCAATTTATTCACTTCATACTCCTGAAAGCAATTTTTTTTTTCCAAGGACCCTCATTTCCTTGATGAATGGTTTTAATGTGCTATTTTTTTAAGAAGTAAAACATATAAAACTGAATTTTGATGTTAACAGGCCCCAAGCAAGTTTCGCAAGGAACTTCCCCTAAAATGGTCTGCATGGGACCAAATCTGTTATAGCACAGTGATAAAAGTTCTATAAAAGTGCTAGCATGCCATCTAAAAGGAGATTCGGGTTAGGTCTAGATTCTTATCACTGTTAATTAAAAGTTAAAATTTAAAAAGAAAGAAAATGGTCTCTATGGGAATGTGGTGTAAAGCTTAACCAGTGCTTTCTAGGTTTCTCCTCAGGGCTCAGGTGTACTGAAAGAAGTGATTTTGATGCATTATTGTGTTTTTGCTGATGTAGTCATGACTCATGTCTTGTGAAGGGGCATTTAGGTTAAATACATAAATAAGAAAAGAAAAGCATAAATGGCTAGATGATTTAGTTTCAATTTTCGTTTAACAGCGCAAGCCTTTGAAGTATGCAAGTGGCTTGGTTTATTTTGAAATAGCAGATGTGACAGGTAATAGACTACTTTGTATTGTCTCATCATTGCTTTTGTACAAATGACTCGCATGTTTCAGGCAGAAAGATCGTGGTTTTGCATTTGATTGGGACCACTAATCGTTATGCTCTGTTTAGTTGTTTTTTCCCCTCTAATTATATATTTTGTCCTTACAATTAAATTCATTTAATTGTATTATAATAAAGAATCCTTGCTTCGACATGTTATGATATGTGTTGGTGGCTGTGTGCCAGCTCTATTTTCTGATGGCAAAATATTTACTTCTTATTTTGGACACCTTTGGAGTTATTTGGGTTGAAAGCAGGCTTGAAGAGCTTTCTGTTAGCTTTGTTTTATTGACGACATGTTATTGATGTGTGTTGTTGACTGTGTGCCAGCTCTATTTCTGATGGCAAAAGATTTACCTTTTTTTTTTTGGACACCTTTGGAGTTATTTGGGTTGAAATCAGGCTTGAATAGCTTTCTGTTAGCTTGGTTTATTGATGATGAGGGGTTAAAGTGACCCACTGTTGGCTTAAGTCATGCTGTCAGGGGTTCAAGTAGGGGTTCAAGTATCACCTTGTTAGATGGGAGCAAGTATGCAAGCCTATAGAACTGGGGGGTCTCAATATTAGACGATTGATTCCTTTTAATCAAGCTCTTCTGGGCAAATGGTTGTGGAGATACGGGAAGGAAAGACACCGCCCTTGGTGTAGGTTAGTATCTTGCAGGTATGAGGAAGACGTTGGCGGATGGACTACACGTCCAGTTTCTATTGCGGGAGGAGTTGGGGTTTGGAAATCCATTCGGAAAGGATGGGATACCTTTTCCTCTCATATCAGATTTAGAGTTCGTGATGGTAGTTGCGTACGTTTTTGGGAAGATCTTTGCTGTGGAAACCAGTTTTAATGTCATACATTTCCCAGATTATATAGTATTGCAGTTGATAAACATGCCATCGTAGCTAACTGTTATCAGCTTGATAATAGTGGGATTACGTGGAATGTTCATTTTCGGCGTTCATTTCAGGATTAGGAGTTGGAAAAGGTGAGCATTTTCTTAGATCAATTGTATCGGCAGGAAGGAATTGGCAAGGGTTATGACAATTTGATTTGGATTGTCTTTGTTCTTATGTTTGTCTAATTTTGCTTCCTATGATTTCCCATGGAAGACTATATGGCGCTCTATGGCTCCTACTAGGGTTGCATTCTTTGTATGGACCGCCGTTTGGGGTAAGATTCTGACGATTGATAATTTAAGGAAAAGGGGAAATATTCTTGTTAATCGGTGTTGCATATGTAAGCAAGATAGGGAGTCAGTCGATCATCTTCTAATGCATTGCTCTGTAGCGCACGATTGCTAGAATCTTATTCTTGGCCTTTTTGGCATGTGTTGGGTAATGCCACGTTCTACTAAGGAGTTAATTCATGCTTGGAGAGGTTGTCGTGTGAGTAGGAGTGTTCGTGATTATTGGAGATCTGTTCCACATTGTATCTGGTGGTGCATCTGGAGGAGAGAAATAGTAGAATGTTTGAAGGGAATGAATCGTCTACAGCGACACTGAAACTTTTTATCATTCGCTCTCTCTTTAGTTATGTGAACAAAAGTTCTTGTTCCTCTTCTGATAATTTAATTTCTTTTTTGGATTCTTTGGGGCCTTAGACCCCGATCTCTCTAATGTTTATGGGATGCGTATCCCTATTGAACGCCTTTTTTAATTTATTATTACTTATCAATAAAAAAAAAGGTCAAGTTGTCAGGGACCTCAAATTGAGGCTCAATTATAGGCTTATTTGGATGGATTGACTGCCCTTGACCTATTGAAGGTATCACTTAGACCTACTTGAGAGAAAGAAGCATTCTCCATTGCACCTTGGCCAGTTATTGCTAGAATTGCAACTTTCTGTGCTGGGATGATTTGAAGAGAAGCTCAAGCTTAACCATTAGGATCTGTTTGGCTGAGTGGAACAATTCTCTTTACGGCTTTACAGAGTAAGATTGCCTGTCACTAGTTGTAGAGAACCTCAAAATCAGCACAAAAGTTACCTCAATATGAAATTTGGGTTGTATACGTTGTGATGGTAAAGGTTTTGTGAACGACATGAAGAGGGGGCAAGATGGAGGTGGTAAGAGCAGAAGACAACTTAGGAAAAACATGCTTGAGTTTGGTTATTCATTCTACACTTTTTTTGGTAAAATGGTTATCCTACATTAGGTTGGTCGGGTAATTGAGATTTGGTGAATGTTTCCCGATTCTATTCCATTCAGCATTTTGATCATTGCATCGTCAATTTACTTCCCACCTGATTATTGTATCTGACCTCTATATTCCACTTCCTGAGCTTGTGTAGATCCTACGAAGGCGCTACTTCAGTGTCACCATCTAGTCTGGCATACCTCTCTGTTCTTGTTCAATGATCTGGATGAAAGTTCAGGAGTAATGATTTTTCTCCTGGTTACAGCTAATAATAATGTTTATCGAGTTAACTAAAAAGATCCAAGGATGCTTATCATAATAGGCAAATGATTCAGAACATGGCCATACCAAAGTACCAAACTCCTCATCGCCTGAAACTTTTAAGTTTGAATTTAATGCGGTTTTCACATGGTAAAAGTGTTTCAAGATTCGGTTGACCGTTTAAAGTTTCCCCTTCTAACTTTAGTCACTGTTTCACTTCTTAAACATTTGAAAATGGGTGTTTCCTAATATGTGGATGTGGTGCCTTTAATAGGTGTGTTAAGTGAGGTTGGGCATTAAAGTTTGTAGCCTTGATGGCTTCAGCCCAAGCATGTTTAGTTCTTTCCAATACAATAGCCAGTTTTTGCATATTCTATGTTCTTCACCGACAATGTTTACTTGCAGGCTTGAAGCATCCAGTGCACCTGAACCTATGGCCCAAGCTGCTTAACCAGAGTTGATCAATCATGTGCCAAACCGAAAAATCCCAAAAAGCAAGAGTTCTGAAGATGTCACCTCTGACCTATTTTTCTTCAGTCTCGTTACTGGAGTGCCGAACTGAGGCCTTGAAGGGCTGTAGCGTGTGTTGGGTCCTGAAATGCTGGTACTTATATTTTCACAACACAGTTGTGACATATGCTGTTTTTTGCTTTTATTGAACCAGCTTACCAACCTATCATAGACGGCAAACAACCTACCTTAGTTGTATTGACGTTTGTTTCCGTATTGGAGCTAAATAATATATTCTTTAGGGGACATTCAAAGTAAAACTTATATACTGTCTTCTTTTTCCAAGGAGGTTATAAGACTACGCATGCTGTTGAACCAGCTGAGAACATGAGGATTCCTTTTTTCGTTTTCTGCACCAATTTGTATAACTTATAACTTTTTTAGCCTTTATGAGTGGCAGTATAGTCACTAAATAATTTCCATCTCCGGGGAAGCCATACTAAGATTCGGATTTGTGACAGTAACAAGGATTCATGGTTACATATTACAAATAATATGCGAAATAAAGCCTGCACATGATGTTACAAGAAAGGGAGAGCCAGCATAAATCTAATGGAATTTGAGGCTGGTCAAGACATTGTTGTTGACAGGGTCAGCCAAATGATCCAGGAGGTTTTGGAAGGGTCCAACCCCTGTCACCAGACCTTGTACAAAGTAACCCAGAATGGCCAACATGGCCAATCTTCCATTCTTGACCTCCTTCAGCTTCATCTCCTTCATGGACTTCTCATCTTTCCCAAAACCAAGAGGGTTAAAGAGTGGTCCTCCAGGGTATGGAGGGTCACCAGACCCTCCCAAGTATTTCTCCAACCCTAAGAAGTACTGCTTGCCCAAGCACCCTGGCTTGGCCCAGTCTTGGAATCTCCTGTGCTCTGCAAATCCCATCAGTGCCATCTCGAATACAAACAGTGTGTAAGGATCTGCCCAGTAATCGTATGTCCCGGCCGGAGGAATCACGCCGGTCTTGAACCAGGGGAGGGCTGTTTCTGGTGGGATGAGGCCCAGCTTCCCGAATATCTCGGGTGCAATGGCTCCCACTGCGCCCAGCATAGCGTAACGCCCATTGATGACCTCTCCGTAGGCCAGCCATTTTGGCTCGATGAAGCCTCCTGTACCTTCAGGGTCTGAGAGGCCTAGTGGATCAAATCCATAGTCACCTGGGAGGCTGAAATTTAGATGCATAAGATGATGGTGCATGCATTGTTAGTCCACCCACATATACAATGAATATTTCAATATCACAGTATAGAAATATATAGCCTGCCTGCTTGATTCAGTGTTTTCTAAAAATAGTTTTCAAAAAACAAAAGAAATTAAAACAGTTCTCTCATAAAATAATATATATATATTGAATCAATCAAACCGATATAATGATTTGTAATGTGCATGCATCGCTCTATATGAATAATAAATAGGGAAGAGGCATGCAAGAGTTACCTGCCATCCAAGTAAGAAAGGCTTTGCTTGGAGGCAAACCAGAGGGGTCTGTCTGCTCCTTGCTGAAAAACACATAATCAGCAAGTGTGGTGAGTACAGAAACCTCATGTATACTTGTGCGTGTGTGTGTAGAGAGAGAGAGGGAGAGAGGGAGAGAGAGACAGAGGTGTACCTTTACAGGAGGAGTAGAAGCTGCCCTTACAATAAAGGAAACCTTCCTTGGTGGGGATTGAAGTGGTCTTCCACCCAGTAATTGTCTAGCAGCCTCCACTGAAGAGGTAATAGATGATGATGAAACCAGTGCCTGTGTTGCCATTCTCTTCTTCCTCTCTCCCACTCAAAGGTTGTTGTTCTGCTTCTACTGATGAAGAAGAATAAAAAGAAGGCAACAAATAAGGGGGAGATGTAAGCCACTAAAGTGTGTGTGTGGGGGTGGTGAAGAGTAGTGAAATTGTGGTAGTTATGAGGCTGCCTCAAATTCCAGATCAGGTTTGGATCCTCTTGTCCAATAATAGGTGCACATGTGGTATGTTTACTTTGGATAAGAGATATTGTTGACTTGTTTAGGAATTCATTTATGGTCTCAAGTCCTCCAAATTTTTGTCACAAGCAACTACAGTGACGTGGGGGCTTTTGAGTATGATGAATTTTGAATTTCCTATTTTTTACATAGGCGGAAGATTTTTAGACTTGTGATATATAAAGATATCATCAAAATTAACAGCCCTCCAGTAGAAATAAAAATAATTGAAGAAAGATTTTGTGATCTAATGATATTTTCTGTACCTTTCAAAATATACTGTAAGGATTTTAGCCTCTAAAAAAATAAAGTGGTGCATGTTGTGTGTGTTTCTTGTTAATTAAAAAACAAAAAACAAAAAAAAAAAAAAGATAGAAAAATTTTGTTCAATGTTACTTGCACAAATATGCCTAATGTTGGAAAAAGTGAGTCGGGTACAAACTTAATTTTTTATATTATTTGTACAGAATGACTGCTGCCAACATTGAAATTGCTTTAAAACCCCCAAAAACTTAATTTTTTATATTATTCGTACAAAATGACTGCTGACAAAATTGAAATTGCTTTAAAACCCTAAAAAATTAATAATAATAATAACCATTATATCAAGTCCCCAAGCAAATCAAAGCACACCAAAGAGCTAGAGGCAAATGCTACATTACATTATCTATCAAAGTATTGGGCCCTCTAGTTTCGTTATTTTTTTCTTGTACTTACGTAACATTTTAAACTTTTGACTTTCATTTTAAGATGAGAAAGTACTATTAAATTATAATCTATCTATCTTACTTATAAAAGTAATACTTTTCACATGCGGATTTACCAATTTCCTTTTGAAAGTGATGTGGATTCACAAGTTAAAATAATAGTGACTGTCATTTCATATATTTGAACGAAAAGATGGTGGCAAATGACTTTTCTTCCGATTTCATTCTAAACCGCTTTTTCCATTTCCATATTCCCTTTTTCAGACTGGTTATTACGATATGCCGGCAAAGTCCTCAAGAAAATGTTTGAAGTTGTCAAAATTTTTAAGTATCGAATCATTATAATTAGTAAGTTCAATCTCATATGATAAATTAAAAATAAATCAATATAACTTGTCTTACCAAATTGATAATCAGTGAGCAAGAAAATTTGTAAAATAATATTTCTCATCAAATAATCACTTCCACCGTTACTCCATCCAAACATTTTATATGCTGCTCCTGAGACTGTTCAATGTTAGTAACTGTATCACTTTACACTAATCTGCAGATGCGCCACATGGTTCACCAATTTCCAAACCCATAAAAATTACTACCACTAGTTCTTTGAAAATTAATCAGTATATAAATCTTTTAAGGTCAATTTGCGCCTTCCAATTTTTGTTTTTCAAGCCTCACTATATTGTAATCACTATACAAAATGGCTTACATCAAAACTTTCAAACAATAATATGGACATTACTAATACTGATAACAAAAATAAACAAATCAACTTGTGCTAAAGCTACAAAATGGCAAATAATAAAGCATTTAATGTAAAACCATTGCAAACATTTAAACAAATCTCTAACACCTAACAGGTCTTATTTATCAAAGATATAGCCAATGGCTTCAGTTTTGGTGGTGTCAAACATAATTAGACTATTATGAAATGAACATTATTCTAAATGTCAATAAAACATTACCCATCTGTCCTGACAGCTGATGACCAAGTCCACAGCCAAACTGTTTTATTATTACTGCTTTCAAAAAGATAATAAAATAAAATTAAAAATAATGAGGAGGGAATATAAGCTTTCTAACTCCATTAAACAACATATCTTAGCATCTCCAACTCAAAAATATAAGATACCAGAACGCTGACTTTGTCCTAAATTGCTGCAGCCGCAATGATGAAGCAACCAATTGACTTATTAATTTCTTCCACCACTGCAGTAGCTGGAATTGAAAACCATTGATATTGGGAGATGCAAGATGCCACGACAACTGCAATCAAAAAATGAGAAAATGGTAAGCGAGAGTACCATCTATTAATAAAAATAATTAACACTAACGAAATGCAAAAAAATTCTAGCATTGTCCGGCAAGCATTTTGGAAGTACTTAAGTGAGAAATTTCTTTCAATTTCTCTCTCTAAATCCAAAAATGTGCTACAACATATTAAACAAACTGTATGACGTAAATGTTCTTGTGTGCATGCAGTCACCCCCAAATTACACAATACAACAGCAATTTTTCTCACAGGATCTTCCCCAGGGCTGCTTTTTATATGGCTAGTTTCACTCATTTATAAAAATATAATAATACTAATAATAAAAGTTGTCATTCTTCCCTTTAGAAGAAAATAAAATTTATTCTTCAAGAAGCAGGATTAATATATACATCCTCCCACACAAATCTACATCCTCCCAAGACAAGATAACAATAATACCATCATGACTAGAAGTCTCTGATTATGAATGCATTATTTAACTCCAATACGGGTGCACAAACCCAACTCTGCTATATAGTATTACGAACATATAACTCTAAACAACAGTGCAGAAAAACATCAATTTATAGGTCGCTCAGAGTCCAAACAATGCAACAATATTTGAACCCGTAGCCTTGCAAGCTAACAATACGGGTCCGATTCCCGCATCTCACTCTATATCTTTAATAAATATTCTATTTAATATTTCCGAAAATCTGTCATTCTCACATCCTACTCTTTTTGAATTAAAAAGAAAAAATAAAATCAGACTGAAAAGCATCCATTGTCTAATTGATAGGACATAGGCCTTCAAAACCTTCAGTATATGTTTAATCCTATTGGACGCAATTTTTTTATTCCTATATATTTCTATGTCAATAAATACATTTTGAATGATTTGAATCTAACCTAGAAATGACTAGTTGTCCAAACAAAATTGAGACCCTGATATTGTTTTCAGCTGATCTAGAAGTTTTTCCTTTTTTCTATAAGGATTAATGCCTTGTTTTGGCAAGTACTTTTTCAAATTGAAACAAATTTGAAAAATGCATAACACGAGTGTACTTCCTGGATATGGGATGAGTTATAGGATTATCAAAATTGAATTTTAAAGTTTTAGCATCACATATCATCTAGGAATGGTTCATTAGAAATTAAGATGGTAATCTTATAAGATTTATAGTAGGAAAAAAAAATTGCGGTCACAGATGACTTGTCATGTGAGGTCTTAAGTCCAGATGAAAGCAGATACCAGTTGCTGATACTCTGGATTGAGATTCAAGTTCAGTTTTGTCCATGACTTTTGCTCAAGGAATGACGAGCCAAGAGCTTTCGACCAGGAGTTCGATGATCATCCTGCCAGAAGTCATGTCAGAAATCGTTGCGCAGAATTTCCACACATCAGAACACACAGTAAACAGTTGATTAGAATAGAGACATGAAGATATTAGATATATTAACTACTAAGAGCATCAATCCAGCTAAAAAATATGGACAAACTTTACTAGACAAACTTATGTTCAACAAAAGGAAGTTAATTGGAAAACAGCAATGTCCAGTTAGCCATGCTTGAATGGATAAATACAAACTTAGATTTTGGATATGCCCTCAATTTTCTATATAACTAGGCCAAATCCTCTCTTTTGTAAAGAAAATATTTAACTTCAGCATGGGAAAGAATTTACATACATACTCCAAATGCATGAAATTAGAGAGACTGAACAGGAGAACATAATAAGAAAAAACAATGCAAGATGCTAATTAGAGGATAATGTGAAAAACTGCTGACAAGAAACCCTTAAGAGATATCGAGTAGAAACTAAGAAACCTTGTACATAGATGCAGCCGATTCGGATTCCACATTTTGGATTGGAACATGTCCAAGTGAATGGAAGGCATCAAGGGCATCTAAAGTCAGCTGCCAACCACAAAGAGCTATAGCACTGGCACTGGAACTGGAGCCACTGCTACTACTACAGCCTGCTGCTGCAACATTTCCGTTCACCCAAGGACAGAAATAATTGTGATGCTTAATTGGATCAAACTCAACAGATGCTTCATAGCTGCTTTCTCCGTTTGGAGGACCTGAACACCATTTCATGCTCAATAATTGTTAGAAAATGGAAAGGATATAAAAGCAGAACAATTAAATTGAACTAAAAAAAGATAAGTGAAAGAGAAATTTAGGAAAAGGAACTAATGCATCTGAATGATACAGTACGTAAAAAATCTGAGATAAAAAAGTCTCAACACACCAGAACCTACTTTGGGCTTGAGAAGTATAATATTCACTGATTTTTTAAATTTTTTCCCAGTTTTGGTAGCAAGTGAATTTCACACTAATTTTTTTTGATCTTAGTGGCTCATGGATTGAAGAAGAGACAGCTGCAGCTTATTATGGTATTATTAGGAGTGGTCGAGAGAAATTCACTTGTAGATGGATGCAAGGAATTGCAGTTGACATGCCACAACAAAGAAGTATTTTATCGAAACACGATCATCTCAATATTTAGATAGTTATGACTACTGCTAGAAAACGGTTTTGACTTGTAGGAGTGATCGAGAGAAATTCACTTATAGATAGATGCAAGGAATTGCAGTTGACAAGCCACAACAAAGAAGTATTTTATCGAGACATGATCATCTCAATATTTAGATAGTCATGACTACTGCTAGAAAACGGTTTTGACAGGACTTACTAGATAGTACGGGTTTAACAGGTCATTTGAATGGTTTTGCGTGATTTAAACCAGAATACTAAAACATTTGATCACAAAGATACTAAGATGAAAACCGTCGCAAAGGAATGCGCTCCTTGAGTTCATAGTTTCCACTTTCCTTTGTGTACAGCTTGGGACGCGTTCCCCTTTTGAACGCTTTCTAATACATTTTACTTATCAAAAAAAAAGATACTAAGATGAATAGGACACATTATGTACATGTATAGAGAGAGACTTAATGGAGTAAGTTCTCCTCAAACCAACCTTGCTGCCAAATGGATGTTGGACCTTGAATAATTAACCCCAATCATCAATTTTAAGTATACAACCTAAGTGGAGAAAATACAATAGCATGAATAAGACAACAATTTAGTACCATGACCAGTAAGTTCTACCGTAGTATGACTCCCACATAACCTGCTTTTGGCTTCCATAAGTTTTGTCTAACCAGTTGACGGCCATAAGAACAATTACAGTATCACTCATGCTACAATAACTTACCACAATCACACCCAGACAACTTCAATAGACACGCATTCCAAGAAAAGGCTCTTTGCTCATCCAACCACATAACCAGCTGTCTTCCATAACTTATCTTTGTCTAACCACCACAAGACCTATTATACATCTTGTTATGACAAACGCAACGAACCCAAGATAAAACCAAGAATCACGACAAAAAAGTAAACAGACCAAACAAAGAACACAAAGATTTATACGTGGTTCGGCAACAACCTACGCCGACGGTTGGGATCCGACGAAAGTTTTCACCATGTGTAAAATTGGAGATCACAAGTTTCAGTCCCTCACTCTGTTTCTATACGAATTTCAGTCTCTCTCTCTTCCACCACTCCAAACCCAAAGCGCCCTTATATATTCGACTACAAGAGACTAATTAGGATCCACGACCCATGAGCAAAGACTTGGCCCACACAAAGCTCATCAAACAGGCCGTCGATTCATAATCAGGTCAAAATGCAACTTGGCACCAAATTTGGGCCACAACATCACAAATCTCCGCCTTGGCTCGAATTACGCCAAACTCCACAATCTCCAGCTACTCCTTTCGCCTCCTCCATATGCCCCTAAGGGCCTCAGCAACTGCAAGTATCAATCAAGTCCAGCCAATGTCTGAACACGAGTGTAGGAATAACCTTGGTCATCATATCTGCTGGATTCTCTATTGTCCCAATCTTCCTCACTGCAATAGCACCATGTGCAACCACATCTCCAATGAAGCGAAACCTGACATCAATGTGTTTGGTCCTCTCATGGAACATTTGATTTTTAATCAAATGTATAACACTTTGGCTATCGCAAAACACAGTCAAATCATCCTGCTGCAAGCCCAAATCACCAACCAAGCCTCTCAATCATATAGCTTCCTTCATTGCCTCTGTAGCTGCCATGTACTCAACCTCAGTAGTAGACAATGCAACTACGGGCTACAAAATCGCCTTCCAATTGATCACACTCTCACAAAGAGTGAAGACATACCCTATTAAGGACCTCCTCCTATCAAGATCTCCGGCATAATCCGAATCAACATATCCAACAAAACTCCCACACGTGTCGCTGCCTCTGTCATGGACTAATCTAACATCTGCACTGCCTCGCAAGTATCGTAATATCCACTTCACAACCTGCCAATGAACCTTCCCAGGTCTATCCATATATTTGCTTACTACACTAACTGCATGTGAAATGTCTGGCCTAGTGCACATCATAGCATACATAAGACTACCAACTGCACTAACATTAGGAACACGAGACATGTGATCCACCTCCTCCTCAGTCTATGGTGACAATCGTGTTGAAAGTCTAAAGTGGGCAGCCAATGGAGTATTCACGGGCTTTGATGTCTGCATACCGAAGCGTTCCAATACCTTCTCAATGTATTTCTTTTGTGACAAATACAATATGCCCGCTCCTCTGTCCCTGTGAATTTTCATACCCAATATCCTCTTTGCAGCACCAAGATCCTTCATCTCAAATTCACCACTAAGTTGAGCCTTTAACATGTTGATTTCAGACATGTTCTTGCAAGCTATCAACATGTCATCAACATACAACAACAAGTACACATACGAACCATCTGAGAGCTTCCTGTGATACACACAACTGTCAAACTTACTCCTACAATAACCATTCCCAACCATAAAGGTGTCAAATCACTTGTACCACTGTCTAGGAGACTGCTTCAGCCCATACAAGGACTTCTTCAGTAGGCAAACATGATCTTCATTTCCCAGAATCTCAAACCCCTTAGGCTGATGCATATAAATCTGCTCTTCCAACTCAAAATGCAAGAAAGCAGTCTTGACATCAAGCTGCTCAAGCTTCAAGTCATACAAAGCAGCTATAGCAAGTAACACCCAGATTGAGCTATGTTTCACCACAGAAGAAAACACTTCATTGAAGTCCACCCCTTCCCTCTATGTATAGCCCTTCGCCATCAAGCATACCTAGTACCTTGCATCTTTCACCCCTGGAATTCCTTCCTTCTTCTTGAAGACCCATTTACAGCCCACAATCTTCTGACCTTAGGCTTCTTAACTTGCTCCCAAGTCTAGTTCTTATGAAGAGACTCAATCTCCTCACCCATGGCAACAGACCACTGTGCTAACTCTCCACCTATGATGGCCTCATGATAAGTACAATGCTCATCAATATCCTCTCCCACACTAAGTGCATAAGCAACAGAATTAGCATGTGAAACCCCATACTTCTCAGGTGGCCGAATATCCCTCATTGGCCTGTCACTAGCCACACTATACTGATGCAACTGTACATCTCCCTCAGACCCAAAACCGCTCCTGCTATGTGGTCCACCAGCTCATTGACACCCTGAGCTCTCCCTGAATCAACTACCTCCTTATGTAGAGTAAGCATCGCAAACTCATGAAAGGTCACGTCCCTGCTAACAAGTATCTTCATTCCCAAATCGTCTGGGCACCATAATCTGTATCCCTTGACCCCGGGCTGATAACTAGGAAATATGCATTTCTTAGCCTTCGGTTCAAGCTTCTCCTCATTCACATGAGCATACACTGGACACCCAAATATTCTCAGATTACAACTAGCAGGAGAACCAGACCATACCTCATCTGGAGTCTTACAATCGATAGCAGTCAATGAAGACCGGTTCATTAGTAACTAGTTGTAGAAACAACTTCAGCCCAGTACGTTTCGTCTAACCTTACATTGGACAACATACACCGTGCCCTCTCCAATAGCGTTTTGTTCATCCATTCTGCAACTCCATTCTGCTGCGGAGTCTTCCTCATTGTGTGGTGTCTCACAATCTCGCGAGTCTTGCAAAACTCATTAAATTCTCCATCACAAAATTCTAAGCCATTGTCTGTCCTCGAGCGCTTTACCTATTTTCTTCCACTGCTTGAATGTAACAAAACCTGTTTACTCAAGACATCCATCCCCCTCACTCATATGCCCAAGCCGCATATGCCAAAATTTGGTAGTATCTGAATCCGGATCCGAGGACGATACAGCAACTGAACCCGTGACTATGCTACCCTGCAGGGTAGACCTGTCAATGGATCGGATTCTGATTCGAATCCAATCCGATTACTTGGATATGGATTAAACAAAAAATCCGATAACCCGATTACGATCCGAATCTGATAATTCGATTCCTTAACAAATCGGATATGAATTTATGCTGATCCGATCCGATAATAATCTGATCTGATTAAATTTTATATATATATATATATATATATATTTTATATTATATATATACAATACTCCTATCAGATTTATATTAGATATAACCAAAAAAAAAAAAGTAATCATAATGCTATATATACAATAGTGTGGTCTTTTCACTCACAGACTAATAAATCTCTTAATATACATATTAATAATGTATAATATTTATTCACTGACAAAGGGTAAATGATCTTCTTCTTTTTTTCTTTTCCTTCCACATTTTATTTATCTTTCATTTTCTATCTTTTTTTCTAATCATTGTTTTTATTCTCTTTTGACATTAATTTTTTTTATTTAAAAAAATAAAATAAAATTTACACTTTTATTGAATCGGATATCCTTTTATTAACAAATCGGATATGGATTCACTTACAAATAATCCGTCGAATTATCGGATCAAGTAAAATGCTTATTGGATTCGAATTCAGATCCGGATCCGACCCTCTGACAGGTCTAATGCAGAGCATATAAACCATGCTTCTTCAGTCCCTTCATCACCACAAGAGCACCCTTTGAAACCCGAATAACTCCACCTCCAGCCTTGTAAGTGCACCCGATGGAATCCAGCATACACAGGGAAATCAGATTCTTTCTCAGTTCCGGTACATGCCTGACATCAGTCAATGTCCTCACTATGCCATCATACATCTTGATTCGAACTGTACCAATACCTACAACCTTGCATGCCGCATCATTCCCCATCAGAACTTCCCCTCCATCAATAAACCGATAAGAGGTAAACCAGTCCCTGTTTGGACAAGCATGAAACAAGCAACCCGAATCAAGAATCCAATCATTGCAAGAGCTACCGACTAAAATTGTGAGAACATTACCACCATCTAAACCATTACCCTCTGCAACAGCCACACGTACAACTTCAGAGGATTTTACCTTTCCCTTCTTACACTCCTGACAATACTTTTTGAAATGCCTTTCCTTGTGACAGATGAAGCATCTCAACACATTCGTTTTGTTCTTAGACTAAGAACGACCTTTGCTGCCAGACCCTCCCTTCTGATTCGTTCTCCCTCTAACAAATAACCCCTCGGCCGAACTTTTTATATTGCCCTCAAATGCCCTTTTCTGCAACTCCTTAGAATTCAAAGCTGCCTTCACATCTTCCATAGACAAAGCAGTTCTGCCTTACATCATTGTATCGACAAAGTTCTCATATGAGGGTGGTTGGGAACACAACAGAATAATGGCCTAATCTTCATCCTCTATCCTGACATCAATATTATTCAAGTCCACGATGATACTATTTACCTCATCAAGACAGTCTTTCAGAGGCAAACCTTTTTCAAGTGAACAACCGCTTCTTTAGATACAAGCGATTCGCAAAAGATTTCGACATATACTGGGACTCCAACTTCTGCCACAGCCCATCCGCCATAATCTCTCCAGCAACTTCTCGCATAACCTCGTTACTGAAGCACAACAAAATCGTACTGTGTGCTTCATAACCTCATCTTTGTCCTTAATCTTTTGTGGTAGCGCATCCTTCCCCTTCAGCGCCTTGAATAACCCTTGTTGAACCAACAAAACCTGCATCCTAACCCGCCACAAGTTGAAATCGTTTATGCCGTTAAACTTCTCGATTGCCAGAGACTTGGACGACATCCCTGCTTCGAACCGAAAGCTTTGATACCAGTTTGTTATGACAAACGCAACGAACCCAAGATAAAACCAAGAATCACGACAGAAAAGTAAACACACCAAACAAAGAACACAAAGATTTATACGTGGTTTGGCAATAGCCTACGTCCACGGTTGGAATCCGACAAAAGTTTTCACTATGTGTAAAATCAAAGATTACAAGTGTCGGCCCATCACTCTATTTCTTTACAAATTTCAGACTCTCTCTCTTCCACCACTCCAATCCCTAAGCGCCCTTATATATCGGGCTACAGGAGACTAATTAGGGACCACGATCCATGAAAAAATTTCCTCGGGGCTTCAGCCCACACAAAGCTCATCCAATGGGTCGTCAAGTAATAAGCGGTCGCAACGCAACCCGACACCAAATTCGAGCCACAACATCACACATCTTTCGGATTCATGTATATGTCTAGTTATATTTAATTTGACCAATAACAATAAACTTTAGAATTTGCCCTTTCTTTTGGTATGTATTTAAACACAACTATTGGTTTTAGAATTTCCATGGGTAATGGTCCAATGCAGGTGGATACGACTAGCTAAAAGCCCTTAAAAATCAAAGTAATCGGCGATGATGGTTCCCCCACGGCTAAAGGCATCGGAACAGAAACAGTTGATTTTTAACTTTTAGGACCCTATATAAGTGGTTCTATTACAAAGCGCATCAGTTGAATACACAGGATTCAAAAGCTTTTGATAAGTAAACCACTAAAGAGCACCAAAAAGAATTGCATATGTAACTTGGTTATACAGACTCCCAAGTATCCATAAGAGAAACAAGTATTCTAGGGAATTCTGAAAACCAGATATTAGAAGAAGATAATGATACCTTCCAGTTTATGAAATGGTATGACCGGCTTAAAACCATCTCATTAAAGAAATATCATTCAAGCATCCAGAATTTCTCTATTTGTCACATCCCTATTCCATGACATATTGGATTCTACTTTCTCTAAGAATGACTTCCCATCATCATGGGGGAAATCTTCAATTTCATGATGAAGTCGCTTATTTTACCTGTTATCTTATGTTGGAGCCTTTCACCATTACTTTACATCTTATTTTTGTATAAGATAAGACCTTGATACAATTAAAAAAGAAAAAGAAAAAAAGAACATTAAACAGAATTACCTATTCCATTTGCAACCAAATAACTTAACTCAGGGTATGCATTCTCATGAACAGGAGACCCCTTGTCAGCCTGTGTCACTTCTTCTTTGGATGCTTCATAACCAGAACATACTATGGCATTGCAAGAAAGAGAAGGAGAAGGACGGGCACTGTTCCCATGTGGTGGTATCTGCATGTTACTGGTCTTCTCACCACTTTCAACAGATTCAGCCTTGGCTGAACCAACAATTTTTGAGCCACTGTCAGCCCTTCCTATAGATCGAGACATCAGATCTTGACTATCACCATGAGGATCCTCTCGATCCATTATTTCAGGGACAAAGTCGCCCATTAGTCCGGGATCTGGAGCAAATTCACCTGTTTGACCCTGATTTTCAACGACTTCAGCAATTGGTTCCACATCACCAACAACACTGTCCGGTTTATGGACAGATATATCAGTCCCATGGATTTCAGCTTCATGACTAGCACCCATTCCTACACTCCCTCCACTAATACCAAAGCTAGGCCCATCCCTCCCATGAGCAGTCCCAGTATCTGTATTTAATACCTCATCACCATCATTTGTGCTGCTAACACCCATCTCACCAGCATTTCTTACTACAGCTGGGCAAGTACTCTGCTGTGCCTGGTTACTGTAGTTCAATTCTGATGTCTCATTCACATCTGTATTTTTGAACATCGTCGTAGAGGGGAAATGGACATCGTCAACATCTCCAGGATAATTTTCAACACTTTCCATTGAATCATTGTCTGCACTGTGACAGACTGTATCCATTGCTATAACAGAGGAGACACGTGCAGAATCTCTAGTTGATGGAATACCAATGACTTGTTCATTTTCTTGAGGGAAATGATCAAATCTATGAGCATCTGTTTCTATTTCAAAACCCAATGACTGGCTTGGACCAGCACCGGATGAATCTCTCCCATATGATGTACGGTAGGTTTCAAAAACATCCGAGTCTCGGGCACGTTTTGAAGGGCCAGCGGAGTATTGTTCATCATCATTTACTTCATCACCATCACGGTCAATGACAGTTCCTTCAATGCTGTCTGCCTGTCGCATCATTAAATGTGGCCTGTCAACGGTGCTTCCACCTTCATCAAAATTTCGCTTACGACGACTGGGACCTCGTGATTCATACGAAGCTGCACGATCACCAACCTCACTGCTGGAAGGCTGACCAATTATTAGATCCCTTCCCATATTAGTGTCTTGGTAGGGTTCAGATATCGCAGTCATATGCAACTGAGTAGAGGACAAACCAACAGCAATCGTGAGATTTAAATCCAACCCAACATTTGACAGCGTCTTCACTTCATCTGTTGTTGCAGCTTCATCATGGCCCTCAGTCTGCTCCTTCCCCATACCATCAGTAGCAACCCATCCACTGATGCCACTTGCCGCACTTACTCCACGAGTCAATGTCATTTTCTTACTAGTTTCAGGAATATCAATATTAGGACCAAAGCGAGCAGGACGAGCAACAGTCAGGAAGTCCCAGATTCTGACTGTGGCTCCACATAAGCTACAATCTAGCAAAGGTGACCTGTATTCGCATTTAGACTCCTGACCTGGTACTTCATTTTTTGTACAATCTTTTTTAGTTGAAGCAGACAATGCCTTCTTGCTGGGACCAGGATCTTGCATATGACGACGGTCTTTGGTAGGACCAATTGAGCATCCATCTCTAGCTGATTGAGCAGAATGTTCCTCACAGTCCTGAATATTTGGAAGCCATCTTGGCTCCCATCCACACAGGCTTATCAGCTTCTGGGCCTAATATGGAGAAAACAAAATGTGAAGAGATTGGATGGTGAAAGGAGCATCAACGTAAAGCAATTCAGTTTACAAACATATAAGCAAGTAACTTACACGAGAGTATATGCAGAAGGCCTCTTCTCTGGTGTTTCCATTTCCTGAGATATTCTCCGCCCTAAAGCCAGATTCTCCGGCTGCAAAAGCCTGTGAGTAAACCAGAAAGCGATCAATTTCCGGGCCCCGAGAAACCTGCATCTGCTCAATTGCAGATGCAGAAACAACTGGGAGGGAGAGGAACTGCAAGAGTCCATCACAGCGATCTTTATAGCCCCCAATCAGGGCCGATGGTGGAGTAGGAGGGAATTGCACCAAGCTTTCTGCACAGCTGTTTCCTCTCCAGGGACAAGTGACGTTGTGCCCTCCGTCTAGCTGTTTGGCGAAGTCTTCCCCCTTGCTATCAGCTTCATCAGAGAGAATTATAGAAGAAAATATCAGTCAATACTAAGCATATAGTATCTACTTTAATGCCCCCAACGAAGTAAAAGAAAAATAACAGAGTATGATTATTGATACAGAATTGGTATTACTAATGTAAAGTTAAGGGGGAAATACAGAAGCTACATAAACAACATGCTGAGTTGACAACAAGAATAAGTAAAGTTTTGTCCCAACCACTTGGGGACTGGTAAAGCTGAGTGTCTTGAAGTAAATTCAGAAAACCAGCAAGCAATCCTAAGAATATCTACTCTTGCCGACACATGGACAGTACAAGTACAGTATCTGGAAGTCTGGAGTATCAACAGTCAACCTATGAGGCTGTTGCCCCCATTCGATTGAGTCATGCAAGCATTTATACACGTTAAGTCAACTTAAATTTATAAACAGCTTTTATATACTCTCCCATAGCTTGAAAATTTACAAGATCAGTCTATATCGTTATTTATATCTCCATGCTAACCAAACCTAAAATTTCAATGCTACCGAGATAACATTGGTTTTAGATATTCTAAAAATTTCCACAATGTCAAAGGATCTTGACCATGCAAATTACATATAAGGATTATGTGTCTGTTTAACAAGAAATCTCAATAAGAACAGAAATGGTAAAGAATATTCGCCAACACACATGCAGAAACTGTAGAAAATATTATAAATAACATGATTAGAAGCCAACTATGCTAAATAGAACAAATTAACAGGAAATTTCACCTTCTGCAGGCAACCAGGAAGTCGACGAAATAAATTCCAGGTTCGCACCGCAGGACTCACACTCAATCTTATCAATATCAACATTTACCCAGCCTCTTCTAGCACAAGCCAAAGAACTGGCAGCCTGCATAGAACATCATAGCAAAAAATAGAGGTTTGAGTGCAGAGACCATCAAGCTGACAAAAATGATAAAAACCTACATGTAGTACATATGAAAAGATCTTGGGAACAATATAACAAATAAAAAGAAACAATGATAGAGTAAAAAGTCTAATCAACATATCCCGTTAATTAAGTTGTTGAGATGGTGGACTACTTATAGACCTAACATTTGGCTACTAGCATAAAGTGGCTGCTCTCAGACTCTTCTCATGCTTAGCAGCCAAACTTCTACCACTAAGCTTAAAAATGGCCGCTAAACAAAAAGAGAGCATGGAAAAATCTAGGCTTCTGAGACAAATGGCACCAGAATGTCAAAAAAATTATTGTTTATTGAGACACTTCGCACAATTAGAAAAATAGAGATGAAAACATACCTGATTTACTTTCAAAATTTTCATCCAGATTTGGGAGAACCACAAATTCCATGCTTAATGTTAAAATATTGCTCCGAGAGTTACAAAAGTTCTACAATTTGGGGCAATCTAATGCTTTCAGTCAATGTGATTCAGATTTTCGAGTAGATTGTACCTAAGTGAATGGAGCCCCCAGTGTTGTCAAAGGCATGCCTAGGCTCCAAGCTCGTACAGATACAACACTTGCGCCTATTGTGTGCCTAGGTGCACCTTTAACAACACTTGCGCCTTTAATATGGAATATTAAAATTTTTATAGTAATTTAATTTCTCAATTGTGCGCCTAGGTTCCAAAGGACCTCTGGTGCCTCAGTGCGCCTGAGGCCTTTGATAACACTGGAAGCCCCTATGAAAAATCAGAAGATATGACTGAAGGTTACAGTTAGAAAGGAAGGCAAAGCCAAGAAGTGGTATATAGGTGGGTTATCATAAGGTGCACTTACTTAGAGAGAGAGAACATAAGGTGCACTCCGTGACCAAGTTTTTTCTGCTCTAGTAACTCAAAGCATATGTCTCGAGCTTTGTGTCAAGGACGCATAGACGTTTTCTATGGGCGTGTGTATTCTTGATGATCTTGGCCTTTCCGCGTAGGTGAGGGAACCCCACAAGTTACTAGACATTTCTGGAATACGACCGGTCTGATGATAGCGGAATCAAAGCCGGCCCAAGAATACTAATATGTGGGTCCCACTTGCAAGGGCAAAAAGATCGAACAGGTAAACCCTGTCACATGCACAAAAACATATTCTATGTCTCACATCAGTGTTGACCAAGTGATCATGGGCTAGTGAAACTGGTCCCTTCACATTTCAATAATGTCATGTGTTAAAGGGGAATTTCAATTTTTCATCCAATCAGAGCTGGTGCTTAATCAAGCCAGATGATGAAGTAAGGAGCTCTTGTGTTCTTTTCTAATTACTTTTCACTATTGCTACTAGTTCTTCAAATAGTGTCTGTCACGACTCGCCCATCCTGTCACAAAAGGCAATGTAGGACGTCACAATCACCCCCCTCTTGGGCACACGCTCCCATTTCTGGCTCGAGATCGACTCTGATACCATCTGTCATGACTCGCCCACCCTGTATAGATATTATCCGCTTTGCACACTCTCCGTACTCATAGTTTTCAAAACACGTCTATACAGTTAGGAGGTGCACACACGTAAGTGTCAACAACCTCTAGCCATCCCACCCCACCCCCCAAAACCCCCATAGGGGCGATGTGGGACGTCACAATGCCTTTTGGACCTCTTATTATTTAAAACCTATGTTACCCAAACTCAAGTACAAGTGACACGTACGGGTGCATGTTTGTGTCTCATATCCTTCTAAATCCTAAAATTTGGAATAACACATGAATAATATGTTAAAGAATCCCTAAAATAAGTGTGGCTAAGTATTCAAAATAAATTAAGAGGAAGGGTACAATTGAAAAACATAATTATTGGGAAACTATAAGAATAGGCATTTTTATGAGGAAAGTAACTATGAAAAGAATTAGGGGGGAAATCATTAATTTTATAAATAAAAAAAATGATGTAAGGTTTCAGTTCATGAAGGGATGAAATCCTAGCGTCTCGATTCATATAGGAAGACCTCCGATGTCATTCCAACAAGTTTCCCAACTCCAAAAAAAAAAAAAATGGTAAGAAGAAGACCTCTAAAATAACATTTAAACTATATCTCCAGCTTCGATAGATCTGAATCACAAGAAAATGTCACTAATTTCTTTTTTGGTTCTCTTTCTTCCCTTTCCTGCTATTCTTTCTTTCATCAATCTTAGCAAACAGCCACGTCACACAAGCACCCTAGGGCAAGGTGATGAGTCCAGATAACATAACAAATAATCTTGTGTTGAATTAAGAAGCACAAACGCTTATATGAAGAGGTATATTTGAAGCAACCACCTGGGTTTGTTGCTCAAGGGGAGTATCGTTACAGTGTTTGTCACCTAAAGAAGGCTTTGTATGGATTGAAACAATCTCCAAGGGCTTGGCTCGGAAAATTCTGAGGCAGCATTAGAATTTGGTCTCAGCAGATGCCAAACGGATCATTCGGTATTTCACCAACATACTAGTGCAGGTTTCATCTTTCTTGTAGTGTATGTGGGTGATATTGTTTTCACCGATGACGACTGTGAGCGCATTGCTAAGTTGATGTTGTTTCTGCAGCGTCGATTTCACACTAAAGACTTGGGTAAACTCAGATATTTCATAGGCATTGAAATTACTAGATCTAAAAAAGGTATAAGTTTATCTCAAAGGCAATATGTGTTGACGTATATATATATTTTTTTTCCCCCCAGAAAAGACCTAAAAACAATAACAATGCTCTTAAGAATGAGCCCATTTCCTTTTTTCTTTTTTCTTTTTTGATAAGTAATAATAATCGATTAGAAGAGCGTTCAAAAGGAGAATGCGTCCTTAAGACAAAAACGGAAGCTGAACCTAAGGACCTATAGAGTCCAAAAGATCAACTAAGTCAACGGTAGAGGAGCAACTGCTTCCTTTTACATAACAAAAAATAAAGCGAAGTGTCACCAAAGCCGATTCCTTTCCTTCGAAAATTCTGTTGTTCCTCTCTTTCCATATACACCACCAAACACAGTGTGGAACTATCCTCCAATAATCGCGACCGTGACTTCTCACTTGGCATACTCTCCACGCTTTAATCAGACCTTTGGAAGATTGAGGCATTACTCAATGTATGCCAAATAAGCCGAAGATGAGGTTCCATCAATCGTACGCCCGGACAGTGCATAAGGATGTGATCCACAAACTCACCATCTCGTTTGCATAGACAACACCAATTAACAATAGTATTGCCTCTCTTCCTCAAATTGTCCCGCATCAAAATCTTACCCTAGAGTCCAGACGGCTGTCCAAACAAAGGTCTAAAATATGTGTTGACTTATAATAAAAAAAAATTAAAAAAAAAAGTTTGTTATGCGGTCATCTTGTTGATGTTCCCGTGGATCCAAATAGAAAACTCAAGGTTGATGAAGGTGATTTATTTGATGACCCTGACAGATACTTGTGATACTTGTGATTAGCTGGGAAATTGATTTATCTCACTATCACTAGGCCTGATATCTCATATGTAGTTAGAGTCGTAAGTCAGTTTATGGGAAGTCCTAGGGTGCCACATTGGAATGTTGTTCTTCAAATTATCCGATATCTTAAGCAAGCTCCATATCCGGGGTTATTATATAGATTGAACGGACATCTCATAGTAAATGTTTTACAAATGTTGATTAGGTTGGTTCTCCCTCATATAGAAGATGTACTATGGGATATTGCACCTTCGCGGGGGGTAATCTTGTTACATGGAGAAGTAAGAAAAAGACGATGGTAGCTCGATCTAGTGATGAAGCTAAGTACAGGGCATGTAACAGCCCATACTTCTAGTGAGTTGACGTGGTTGCACCATTTTCTTGAGGAATTTGGTGTGATGGTCAAAACCCATATTCCGTTCGTCCTGTGATAACTAAGCAACTCTCCACATTGCCTTTAATCCTATATTTCATGAGAGGACCAAGCATATCGAAGTCAACTGTCACTTTATTCAAGATAATATATTGAGTGGAGACATTTCTACATCATTTGTTAAATAAAGTTGTTGATATGTTTACTATGGCTTTAAGTCATAATCGGTTGAGAGTTATTTGTTTTAAGCTACGATTATATGATATATACTCACCAGCTTGAGAGGGAGTATTAGAATGTATATAAGTGTATTTTTCTATTTCCTACAAGGGTATGTTGTTCATTTTATTGTAACACTATGTTTTTGTCATATATACAAGTAAGAGGAGATTAGATACTCTCTTGGAAACTTCCCAAAACACATTAATTTCATTTTCCTTCTCTTTGAATTCTAATTTCAACAATTCCCATGTACAAAGACAAGTCAAGAAAATGATATAGTTGAACAGTCAACACACACCATTGATTAATAGTGTGGTACAACTTTTTTGTGAAAATGACGTGCTCAAGAAATATGTTTTTAGTAATTATCATAACAAATCATATAAATGATAATATTCCACCATATATGAAAGCAGCGGAAGGCTTCAAGAGTAGAAAAGACAGAGTTACTCTCCAAAGTGTATACCCATGACACAGCACATTGAAGGAGTTACAAACACGGGTAAAACTTTCTGGGAAACTAAAAAACATTAGTGGCGCCATCCATCTGGCATATAAAAGGGGAACCACATATGAAGTTGCAACAGTAACTAATTCATTCTGCGATCGCACGGATAAAGTAGGATTGCTAGGGGATGTAACCAGATTTTCTGATCCACCAAAGGCAAGTATGTAGATGATTTTTATTAGAATCTAATAGGGGCCTGAAGTAAAGACAGCAGCCAGATTTCTCGCTACTCAAACAGCAGCAAATGGGCCCAATTATACAATTCCCTAATCTAAATAGGCAAATATATATATATATATATATATATATATGAATAGGTTTCAGTCCAATTATTTGAACAAAAACCAGTTATGGATACAAGGTCATTAATCTAAACCCAAGCACGAAACTATTTTATTAATAAAAACTAACTCAGCTGCAAACCTTGGGCTTTCCAAACCAATTTGCAGGCTTAAATGTAGAAAGACGCCTCAGTAAATCCCCCCTCTCCCATGGTCTACAAGAAGGATTTGATGACCCAATAGCAGAACCACAGGCACTTGTACTCAACGAAGGATGCTGGTGCTGTGAACCTATTCGAGATAGAGAACCTGTTTTGGATCCCTGTCCATGACCCAACCAGTCTATGCTGCCAACATTTGTTGGGACAACAGGATATGATGCCCCTGCAGAACTGATATAAAGAAAGGTGATTAAGAAATGATCAAACATCTAGCAAGGCAATTTAAACAAATTAATATGAAGATGTTTCACGATTTTGGTCCACTCTATTGACATATTATTAACTCAACTTCCACATATAAACAAAAATATACAAGGTAATAATTTGAACCTCTCTTTTGCTTGTAGCTTACTATATTTCTACATGCCCACTGACAAATTCTCCACTGTTAAACAGATAGTCCCTCCGTCCCCGGGGAAACCTTTTTCCAACTCAATTCCCTAAAAAAATGTTAGCCAACAACAAAAATTTGTCGCCGAGTAAAATCAGGAAAAAGAATAGGTTCTTAAAACCTCGCTCTTATATGATTTTGAAGCATTTAGTTAGAATTCTAATGTTCAAAATTCTAACCCCAACATTCCATTCGCAACCAACGGAGCTCATTACACAGCTAGGGGAACCCCACCGAAATCAAATAACATTTCATCAACAACCATGCGAAAAGTCGACAAACCCCCAATTCAATGTCACTGTAAATGCATGAATCGTATAGATACATATACATATAAGGATATATGACTGTGCCCTAGAGTGTACACAATAGCAAGATCCGAAGGAAGAATAGGGAGAAGCATATACCTAGCAGCAGGGGTAGGGGTTGGAGGTGGAGAAGATGATTTGGGGGGTATGAACGGATCTCCAGAAGAGCTTATAACTTCTTCCTTCATCTTCACTTTCTCGCTCCGCTCCTTTCGTCTTCGACCCCTCTCTCTCACACACTAATCAGCAATAACGACTATGTTTCGTTGGTTTTCAAAGCCATTATTATGGTAAGTAAAAATGTTACTAATAAAAAGGAGCAAGTAAGGGCAGTAAATTCTTAACGCGTGACACTTTGAACCAAATCTTTTGGCACGAAATTGATTCTATCTTTATTATATTTGAATTGAGTTAAATTATTTATTTAATTTTATTTTTATCAATTCCATTTGCAATTTTATCTTTTATATAGGAGAAGGATAATTTTGGTTAGCTGCAAATTTGTTTTTAATCAATTTAAAAATCTCATCAAATCCCTCAATTTTCTTGGATTTTGAAAACGAAGTCCAACAACTCAATATATATTTTTGAATGATTAATTGCAACAATATAAATTTCAGGTCATTTTTGTCTAAACAAACTCTTGTGTCTCTTCGTATGTCAAACATTGATACATGAAAAAAAAAAAGAAGTTTCTAAGAAAAAAATACAACTTTTCATTAGTCCACACGACATAGTAAATATGTTATAATATACTTTCTTGTCAAAGAAAAATAATTTGCAACTTTTTGTAAACTAAAAGTCATGTATATATTTTGATGGTACAAAAAAGTTTAACGCAATTTCATTAAAATCGAATGAGTTTTTTTGTCTATGGATGGACTTGGGTTTGAATTTATCTACTACATTAAACGTGAGGGAGGGATTTAGGTTGGCCTAACCTAACTTAGAGTCGCACCAGAAATTTTTACAATATTTGAGAATGTGGGATTGAAATTGAGTTCGATTTTATTTTGGGTGGGTTTACGCAAATGATATAGTAACTTGAACAATCTGAAATACATCAAAAGTTCATAATTTTTAAGGCATACATTGTTTATGTAAAATTAATGTTTCGTTTGGTTGGAGGAATGGAAAAAATGGATGGAAGAGATACGGGGAGAGATGGATGAGGTATCTCTAGGTGTCTTTCTCAAAATTTTTATTTTTTTTAATGGAATGGATAATAGAAAGGAGGTTGAATGGAGAAATACTTTTTTCTTATTTGGTTGGAAGAAAGAGAATGAGATTTTTATATTTTTTTTACCAATACACCTTTTTTATATAAAATTATAGTAAAAGGTAGATATTTATTTCAAAATTTTTGAAAAGGTAAAAATTGTAAGTTATTTCCAATTTCTAAAAAGAATGAATTTTATTAATTCCCACAAATTTGTCACCCAAAGTCCAACACATTATTGATTTTATTTCATGCCAATTTGTATATAGTTATATATTGTAACATTTTTTTTTTGTTGTTGTTATATTTATTTATTAGTAAGTTATTTAATTTTTGAAAGATTTGAAAAACTCAAAAAACTTGCGAAATTTGTGCGATATACGGTATGTTTGGACACACGGGAGAGAAAAGAAAGGAAATAATAACATTAATTGTGGATAAATGAAGAGATAATAATAATTTTTATTCATGTTTCGATAGAAAGGAGAGAAAATAAAATAAATAATAGGATTCTTGTTTGCATAAGATACATTTTATATTTGTGTGGTTTATTTGACTCCCTTGTTTTTTTTTTTTTTTCGTGTGTTTCTTGGTTGCTCAATAACATTTTTATTTATTTATTTTTTTCGTTAAAGGTTGCTCAATAACTTATTTAACTATAAACTTCATCAACAAATATTCTATATAAATTATACTATATATATACACAACTCCCCTAATATGATTCCCTATTCTTATAACATGATAAGATTTTGATCTTATCCCTTTTTCTTCCCCAATGTTTTTCTCTGATTTCTCGTTACATCTTCTCCATCTCTCCTTCATGTTGTTGGTTTTCAGATTCTCTGTCTTAGCGAATCTCTTATCCCCTCCTTGAACATGATACACCAAGCACACGCACACGCACACGCACACGCACACACATGTATATATTTGTATATATCTTCATATTCTCTCCAACAAATGAAAGTTTGCTCGGTGAATTTTTAGTGACCAATGTTTGAGCAATGGCATCCATCAATTTCCACAAACTTGAGAGACCAAACCAATCTGAAGTTTCGGCGAACTTCAGCTTCGGTGTGTGCCAATTCGGTGAAGAACTACAACGAACAAACAGGTAGCGAGACCAAACAACTTGGGTCATCTTCGTAAAGAAACCGATCAAAAGTTCTCCTTGTTGCGCAGCGAGGAATGCACCTGATGAACTGAATGAACCCTAATGTTACAAGGACTTACAAGGAATTACAAATTTCTATATCTAATTTTGGAGGCTAGTTTTGGCATATTGAAAATGCCACTAAACTTACTTCCCCTTCCCTCCGAAATGTATCATTTTGCGAGGGATACAATTTAAACCTCCAAATCCTTCCCAATCCTTTATTTTATCTTCAAATCCTCCTATCCAAATACAACACTCCTTATCCAAATACAACACTCCTTATCCTTACATTTATTTTCTTTCCAAATCCCCCAAATCTTCCCATCCAAACAAGGGCTGAGTTTTTCTAAACTTTAGATTGGCATGGATTGAGTTGTTAAACTTTAGATTTGGCATGGGCTAACCCTACACCGCCTAACCCCTAATTAAAGGAATAAATATTACATCAACTAAATAGTAAATAACAATACTTGTCTTGGGTTACATAATAAGGAAGTTCTTTTGATGGGTGAGGCCTAATGAAAGAATCACATGTGTCCCACATATTATGTAATTTAAAATAAAATAAAATAACTGAATTAACCTACTTTCGATGGGTTAACCCAACTCATATATATATATATATATATATATATATATATATATATATATATATATATATAAGATATATATATATATGAGGGATTATTGATTGAGGAATATTTTATTCCAAAACCCTAATCACGGCCATTTTCCACCCGCACATTCTACCACCACCACTGTCACTCCCCACTCGTCACTAGCATCACCGCCACTCTCTCTCTCTCTCTCTCTCTCTCTCTTCTCTATTCCTATATTCTTTTTACTTTACTTGGATTGAATTAGAGTTGAGTCAGCATCTCCAACCAATGTTTCAAATTTCATACCTCAATTTTATTTGAAGTATGATGCGGCAAATTGACATATGACATCTTGACATACTCCATTCGATAAGTCAAATTTATTAATATTTAAAGTTTCGAGTGGAGATGCTCATTATGCCAAATTTGAATTGTTTATAGGATTCTTAGATTAAAATAATGAAAAATTTGTATTTGGCATACCACTTTTTGATATGCCAAATTTGACATATTTAATGGTATGTCAAATGCTATGTAGGCATTTGAAGTATTGGTTGGAGGAATTTTTTATGTAAAAAATAGTTGTTGCAAATGCCACGTAGGATTTGATATATCGGTGGAGATGCTCATAGAATGGAAAAGAGAATAAGAATTTTAGATATTCTCTTGTTTTTCACCGCCACCTTGCCAGAAATATAAATATGTGGTCAGAGAGTATAAGTTTTTTATTAGAGCCTCTGTTTCGGACTAGATGAAGAGATTACGAATACTAAGTTTTTAATTTTACGTAATGTAAATGGGTAATTTTGTAGTATATGTTAGGGTTAAAATCATAAAACTCCCATTATCTTTAAAATTTGATCATAAAACCCCAATCTTTTTCAAAAAATCCTTACACTTTAAAAAAGTGATCACATTGCTCCAATATCCGTGTTTGACTTGTTATCCGGACTATAAAATGACAAATTTAACCTTACTATTTAATATTAAGTTAAAAAGAAAAAAATATTATTTTTTAAATTACAAAAATACCATTTATCTTCTTCTTCAACCCTCCCCCCTCTCTAAAACTCTCACTCCTCTCTCTCTCAAACATAATTTTTGTAATTTTAAAGTATATTTTTTAATTAAAAATAAAAATTTTTAGTTTTTAATTTAACATTAAATAGTAAGGTTAAACGTGTCAATTCATAACCTAGTTAATGGGTCGAATACGAACATTGGAGCAATGTAATAACTTTTTAAGAGTGTAAGAATTTTCTGAAACAGATTAGAATTTTATAATTAAAATTTTAAAATAATAGAAGTTTTATGATTTTAACCCTATGTGTTATATGGATTATATTCAGGTTTACCCGTTAAAAATGGATTTGATCCAATTTTTTTAACTTGGGAGTTATGACACATGTCGGTGTTTTAGACCACCACGAGAAGGAACTTTTTTTTTTCGAAACACGAGAAGGAACTAAGAAACTTCCTTTTCAAGCTCATGGTGCAAAAATAATTTTTCTTTAGTAAAAATATCGAGAAATTATATTTTTTAATTAGAACATGCTAGACACGACGATTTCGGCTGCTGACTGTGTGATACTCTCAAGGTGTGGGGTCCCACATCAACTGTACGGGGCCCACAAAGTACTGTGCATGTCGGCCTCTAGAATTTCTACCGCCATTCGTCCCAGCCCTACACACCTCAACAGGCCTAGGGTGCGTTCTCTCTCTCTCCCAAGTTCCCAACACAAAACTAACGTCACCTAACTTTAGGAAAGTATCATATGTTCACTGACTGATAAGTGAAAAAGAATCGCAAATAAGGTAAGATTTTGTATCTTCTGAATTTTTGGTCTCACTCCAATCAATATTTTATATGCAAAAGTGGTCCAGAATTGGTTTGTTATCAAACCCCAGAATTTCCTATTTTGTTATATTATTGCGAGAAAATTACACAGAATTTTTTTGTTTGATGGACTTGTTTTTAAGATTCTTATGGAATTGCACAGAGAGAGGAAAGAGATTAATTTGGTCTGGGATATTCGTGGGCTGCTGCATTAGAGTCTAGGTTTGTGTATATTGTTTTTGAGGTACATGGTGGTGCTGGAATATGTAAGTACAATCATGGCTTCTTTGGCCTCCCCGGTGAGTACAGGAAGTGCTACTGTGAGTTCGTCCGGGCATTTTGAAGGACTTGAGAGAGTTTCTCTCTCTAAAAATGTCCATAGTTTTCACAAAATTTGGGTTAAGAAGAGAGGCAGGGTCTGTAAATATTCAGTAACTGATTACATTGCCGATCAAGGGACTTCAGTTTCCCTTAATTCAACATATGAAGGAAGCAAACACAATGCTGCTGTTGTTGTTCTTAAGGCGGCTCCAAAGCCGGTTTTAAGATCTGGGTCAAAGACCGAACCCCTTTTAAATATTAACTCCATAAGTTCAATGCCTTGGAATCTATCAAAACTAAACGAGGATTCTGAATATGAGAAGGTACATGATGATAAAGAAGAGATAGATAAGGTGATTGAGTCACTGGGAGAGGCACTGGAGAAGGCTGAGAAATTAGAATCTATTAAAAAAGTCAGTCCAGTCAATAAATCACCACTCAACATAAGCACTGACAAGAGAAAAGGTAAACCAAAAAATGGTAAACCAGTTAATTTAACAGTCGGTCGGAAGTCTAAGACTTTGAAGAGTGTATGGCGGAAAGGGGATACTGTGGCTAGTGTACAAAAATCAGTCAAGGAATCTCCTAAGACCCAGAAGGTTGAGAAAAAGGAACCAAGGATAGAAGGAGCGGGGAAAGTTGAGTCTCCGCCCATTTTTCCTCTAAGACCTCTTAAGCCACCTATAAAACCCTCCATAGCTCCTCCGCCAGTGATCAAGAAATCTGTTATCTTGAAGGATGTGGGGGCGCCTCCAAACAACCGAGCTACTGGTGGAAATAACTTAGTTGCAAAAGAAAGAAAGCCAATGCTGATCGACAAATTTGCAGCTAAGAAACTGGTGGTTGATCCTCTGATTGCTCAAGCAGTATTAACCCCTCCAAAATCTGCAAAGGGCCCTATCCCTGGAAAGTTCAAAGATGAGTTTCGAAAGAAAAGTGGTCCACTCGGAGGACCACGGAGGCAGATGGTTAAAAATGTTGAGATTCCTGATGAGGAGACATCGGAACTTGATGTTTCTATTCCCGGTGCAGCTACAGCAAGGAAAGGAAGGAAATGGAGCAAGGCAAGTCGGAAGGCAGCTAGACTCCAGGCAGCTAAGGAGGCTGCTCCTATTAAAGAAGAAATTTTGGAGGTCGGTGAAGAAGGTATGTCGACTGAGGAGTTGGCCCACAACTTGGCGATTAGTGAAGGTGAAATTTTTGGGTACCTATCCTCAATGGGGATTAAGCCTGACGGCGTGCAAACATTTGATAAAAATATGGTCAAGATGATCTGCAAAGAGTACGAGGTAGAAGTCATAGATGCTGCTCCCGTGAGAGTGGAAGAAATGGCTAAAAAGAAGGAAATTCTTGATGAGGAAGACCTGGAAAATCTAGAAGATAGACCTCCCGTTCTTACTATAATGGGCCATGTTGATCATGGAAAGGTATAGGTATAGAATAACATATCGCTGCTCCTTTTCATTTACCTTTCCCTATTTGGTCTTGTATTGCCTTCCCCCCTTCTTTAATACTGCCCCTTTTCCTTTGAACTAAAAATATTATTTTCTTTTAATTTCTGATAGCAAGTTTTTGCTAATTTTATGTTTGGTGTTGTCAACTTGGCAGACCACTCTTTTGGATTACATTCGGAAGAGCAAGGTATATGTGAATCTTAATCATCTTGATTCTCCTTTTTAATCAACTTGCAACTGATGGACATGGTGGAATTAAGGTCTTATGATTTTGCTATTTGAACTTAGCAAAAAAGGAAGGAAAAAAAAGAAAAAAAGAAGAAGAATTTGCTATATGGGAGTTTTGATGACAATTTGTTTAATAAATTTATGATTGATTGTGTGGTTATGAGAGAATTTTTATGAAGTACATCATATCATCGCCACATGGATTATACGTATAGGACATGAACCCTCAATCAACTTAAAGCTACTCACAATTGCTCTGGCAATCAAGCTATATAATTGAAGCCTGAAATGCTAGATTTTACAGGTAGCTGCATCTGAAGCAGGTGGTATTACACAGGGAATTGGGGCATATAAGGTTCTAATACCCATTGATGGCAAGTTTCAACCATGTGTCTTTCTTGATACTCCTGGACATGAGGTAAGCTCAATGGTCATTTGTGGTTCGAACTTCAGGTTTCTTTTGCCAGAATTTTGGTTCCCTTTCTCTCTCTCATCCCTCTTTATGCTGTATCATTCTTGGGTTTCCATAATCCCTGTTAATGCTTGTAACTATCTTTTGGTCATGGGTGTTATGAACTCAACTGCAAACAATAACTTGCTCATCCTCTTCTCTCATTTTGATGACATCTGTTATATTAAGTCCTGTAGGCATTTGGGGCAATGAGAGCTCGTGGTGCAAAGGTGACAGACATTGCTATCATTATTGTGGCTGCTGATGATGGAATCCGTCCTCAAACAAATGAGGCCATAGCTCATGCCAAAGCAGCTGGTGTACCAATTGTAATCGCCATTAACAAGGTAGCTTGGCTATACTGGCAATTGGCTGTGTTTATTCATTACACTGCTGGTTCTAAGAGTTGCATATTCTAAGCTTTATTGCTTCTACTATTCCAGATAGATAAGCATGGAGCTAATCCTGAGCGAGTCATGCAAGAGCTTTCTTCAATTGGTTTAATGCCAGAAGATTGGGGTGGTGACATCCCAATGGTTCAGGTGCTTATACTACAAGCACAGGAATTGTACTCGCATCTCTTTCACTGATGCTTTATACCTTTTGACGATGCTTATTATCTTTCCACTCTCTTTGTTAACAGATCAGTGCTCTTAAAGGGGAGAACATAGATGAGTTGTTGGAAATTGTCATGCTTGTTGCAGAGGTAAGTTAAATTTTATTGGCACGCCAACTTGTTAGCTTTGATATTCTTCTTGAAATGTATAATATATCAACTTTACCACCAGCTGGTTGTCAAAAGTAATTTAATTTCTCTTTCTTTTTTTGTTATCATGATTTCATCTACTTATTCCTTTCTTTATTTTCCGAAATTTGATAGTTAAAATTAGAAATTTGTGCAGGAAATACTATTTACTCGCATAAACAGGACATCTTGTAACAAGATGACTGCATAGGTTCCATTCATGTGATCCCCAAAAATGGAACCTATGGCTTTATGCGGAGTATGCATGCCCATACTCGTTTCATGTCTTGTTGACCCAGTGCAAAGAGTCTGGGCAACAGAGATATTTGTACTATATATTATCCAATTAGCCAATGCAGTACTCTTTTTTGGATCTGTGGTCACCTATCTGGAATGTTCCAATCAATTAGCAAGTACTTAAATACGCTTCAAAATTTGTGCATGTTTATCTTGCTTCTTATTATTTGCCTTCTGTGTATTCTAACCCTCTTTGCACTTTTTCACTGAAGTTGCAAGAATTGAAAGCTAATCCTCACAGAAGTGCTAGGGGCACAGTCATCGAGGCAGGTCTTCATAAATCTAAAGGACCGGTAGCTACATTTATTGTGCAGAATGGCACCCTGAAAAGAGGGGATATAGTAGTTTGTGGTGAAGCCTTTGGGAAGGTTGAGCATGAACTTTCTTTAAGATGAAATTCCCTGCTCAATATTACCTAGATGATTACATTGAAACTGTATAATATTTAGTCTGGTCAGTTTCTTTTTGGTACCCATCTTTGAAGAATTTCCCTACTCTGGCATGTCAGGTTCGGTCTCTATCTGATGATGTTGAGAATCGTGTTGATGAAGCCGGACCCTCTATACCAGTGCAGGTTTGCAGTTTCCTACTTTACTACCTTTTGGATTTTTATTCTTATTCTTATATTAGTATTTTTCACATTCTATACTTGGTTGAGCATTACAATGCTTGTGGCCTTCCTTCTGGGACAGTAGTAAAGAATGTGATCTTCCAGCTTGATTCCAAAAGTGGCCCTTCCTATTGGAAAGTTGATATTGTTAAGATATCTGATGGTTGCATATTCTGAACACTTTGGTGACACGATAAAAAGCTAACAAATAATTTTTCTTGATTCATCCTGTTTGACAGTCATTACAATCACTAAATTATTATCTAAGCTACCATATTTGCTTTCCCTATAGGAGGGTATATACTAAATACTATCCCAGACACTTGAGATTATCTTCTCTCTCTCTCTCTTTCTCTAGGTTAAATACAAAATAATAATCAGGAGCACATGAGATGCAAAACTTGCGAGTCCCATACCCCTGCTTCCTTTTAATTTATAAACAGAGATGATACCAATAGTTGACTGGGTTTGTGAATAATTTATTTGTTCTGTCATTAATTAACTTTGCAATGCGAGCTCGAACTCGACCTCTGTATTGTTTTTTGTGGTTCTGGGGTTAGGAAAAGGCTGAGCCAGCTTAAATAAGTTACTAGATCTGCTATACCTGATCCCAGCTTGAGCATAATTATCGGGCTTAAGAACTGAACATGAACTGATGTTCTAAAGCAAGCACATCTGTCATTACTAGCTTGTGTCAAAAGTATGCATCTTAAGAAGTATCCTTAGCTTTTTGGGCTCAGGGGTCGTACTGTAAATCTGTTGAGGAACTCGTGCATTTTATTGTCTAGCTTGAGCTTATAGTGATTTTTGTGTTCTTTGTGCAGTTGTACACGGTATTCACTCCCCTTTGAGCGCTCTTATTTGAAATCTTTACTTTTAGAAAAAGAAATTTTTTCTTTTTGCCCTATTTATCATATGGCTCTTCATTCAAGACTCTGCTAATATATCTGCCCCATACTTCTGCAGGTCATTGGATTGAATAATGTTCCAATTGCTGGTGATGAATTTGAGGTTGTTGGCTCCCTTAAAGTTGCACGTGCAAGGGCCGAGTCACGTGCGGAATCTTTAAAAAATGAACGTATATCAGCCAAGACCGGGGATGGGAAGGTTACACTTTCTTCCTTTGCTTCTGCAGGTTCAGCTGGAAAGCAGGCTGGATTACTCTTGCACCAGCTGAATATTATTATGAAGGTTGATGTTCAGGTATGTATATCCATTATAACGTAAAAGAAAGACTGTCTTGATTTTTGTGCTTGGAGTATAGAGTATGAGTAATAACAGATTAATTTGAATAATCAACTGTTCTGAATTTATGCCTAACTAATCCCTTTACGATCATCCAATTGATGAAAATTTGCAACTATCAGAGTTATTATAGTGATGACAGAAAGCATGGACCCACATATTTTGGAAGCTTATGGAGCTCCTATCCATAGGGGCCATTGCCTAGTGCAGTGGTAAAATGTGGGCTAAGAAGGTGTGTTCAAATACTGAGAGCAGTCACTTTGTGCAAAAAATGACAAATGTTAGGTCCATCCAATCTTCCCTTCCCAGCACCCTCGATTAATTAGGTCCACACTTGATAATAACCATTTTTAAGAGCTCCTAGACATCTCACTTATTTTTGTTACAAATTTGTTTGATATTATAAACTGCACAAGGCCCAAATGTTAAATACGGCCTATGTAGCACTTCACCTTATAAACCCTAAGTATTGCATTAGAACTTAAAGCTTCATGCTGTTGTTGCAGAGATAGCTTTCATACAAACTGATTCCTTTATGAACAGATGCATTTAAAATGCAACTAGAAACTATATCTTGTAAGAAGAACAGAACAGACCATTAGAAATTTAGAACTAGACTCCACACAACTGTAAACACTCACAGTTTTAGAGAAACATAATGCATCAGGACTGAAATATAAATAAAATTGAGTATTCTTTAAATCAAGAATGATTTGAATTTGATTAAAATTAATTTTAACTAATTATTTCCTTGATTTGAATCACATTTCACAAGTATATAATTCATAAACAGTTCATCCAATTTATATTATTGTTTAGAATTGTCTGAAAATACATTAATAATGACTTCGTGAGGTTCTAGGTAGGCTCTATATCTTTTAGATCAGTAGAGAATAATAATTAATGCTGAAACTTTAGTCTAGTATACGGGTTTGGTGGATCGTAATAAACTGATTTAATAATTTTGAAGGCATTAGTCTGACCACATTTATTATTTTGAATCTGATATTGTTTGTCTTATTATCTGTAAGTATATAATAAATGTATCGATTTTTTTTTTTTAATAATCTATAGCAAAAGACTATTTATTTTATTTAATAAGTTATGAATCTATGGATTTTATCAAACTTCCATATATTTATCCACTTTAGTTGCAGTCAATTATATCAGTTTGTTCTGTTAAATTTAATATTTAGGGAAATGCTACAATTTTTTTTTTCATTTTTATTTTTTTATTTTTTTAAATTTCTTGAAGAACTTAATCAGCTCAAATATGGTGGCCATTCAACTCTTTGAAATCTCAGTTTGCATTAGTAGGTCTATATTTTCCCACAAACCAGTGTTTTTAGTGACAGATGTGAAAAGGAATGAAACATATATTCAGTCAAATAATTTACCTAAACTTTTTTTCCCCTTGCATATTGGAATTGTTGAAGGATAAAAATAATAAAGTGACACCCTCTCTAACAGCTTAATCTTTTGGAGTAGATGGTTGTGAACACGGTATCAGAGCCAAAGGTCTCAAGTTCAAACCTCACCGTCATGAATGAGTTTTGTGTTTCTTACTCACCTGCAATTAAATTGAAACCTTGTAATCATGACCAGGGTTCCATTGAGGCTGTCAGACAAGCCCTAAAGGTGCTCCCTCAAGATAATGTCACTTTGAAGTTCCTCTTCCAAGCAACTGGGGATGTAAGCACCAGTGATGTTGATCTTGCGGTTGCTAGTAAAGGCATTATTCTGGGCTTTAATGTTAAAGCACCTGGTTCTGTTAAGAGCTATGCAGACAATAAAGGTGTTGAGATTCGACAGTACAGAGTTGTATATGAGCTTATTGATGATGTGCGAAATGCTATGGAGGGACTTTTGGAGCCTGTTGAGGTTAGTTTGCTCAAATCCATTTATTTGAACTTTTCTTTTTTCAATTATCTTGAAAAGGCTGTACTTAATACCTGCAGGACAGACAATACTTCCCTATGTTTCACGGACTCAAGTGCACATTTGAGTGTGACTTTTTTTTAGGTGTGATCTAATTAACCTCAAAGTTTATGACAAAGGCTTGTAGATATCTTGAGGGGTCCAAGTTTTCTTTCGTGGTGAGTTGTGACCCCAAGAATTATGTCTAAAAATAACACAGTTCTCTTTTTCTATAATTTCTGTGTAAAATAGAAAAAATTTAAGAAAAATATTCCATAATGAAAAAAGAAAAATAAAAACACCCCAAGGACATTTAGATTCTCTTCCTTTTGTTTGAAGTGCCTTTTGGTAATAGATACATGACTAACATAACATATCCATCAAACATCGCATAGATATACTCATATATCCTTGTTAATTTAAACATTCCTCTTCACATACACGGGTATTTTCATTCATTTTTATGGTTGATGTATAATGCATAGACATAGGTTCTGTACATGTGTCTCAACATATGTATTCCGATCTAAGAACTCCGTCATGGTAATTTAACCATTCAGAGGATCCTTTCAATCGTATATGAATTAACTGCTTCAATTTTTTGTAATTGAAGTTAAAACCCTTTGGAACATTGCCTTTAGAAGATACTAGCCATGTGTAAAGTTTTAATGACAAACCTGATGCTTCTTTTTATTTTTGTGTTAATTTTATGACTGAAAAATGGCATTTTAGACCTAATGTTTGTATCTTTATAGGAACAAGAAACAATTGGTGCAGCCGAAGTACGAGCCATATTCAGCAGTGGCAGTGGTCATATTGCCGGATGCATGGTGACGGAGGGAGAAGTGGTGAAAGACTGTGGCATTCGGGTTGTGAGAAATGGAAAAACAATATATATTGGTATTCTCCATTCTTTGAGACGGGTGAAGGAGATTGTGAAAGAGGTACGTCTTTCGTAGCTGTATTTTTTTCACCACTTCCTTTATGATATTGTGCCATGCTCATGGCTCCATAGATTTTATTTCTTCTAGCAATCTAAGAATATATATATATATATATGTCCCTAGCACACCCACCCATTTTTCCATTCCACTTTAGGAAGTTGGGGAGATATCACTGGGCGACCTTGGTGGTAGCAATCTAATATATTATATTAAATAATTGATATGATTGTAGCTGTAATTGCTTGTCAGGAGCATGCATCTTGACATAAGGCGCATAGGGCTTTACTATCATACCAAGGGAGCATTATTTATGTGCATTACTTCAGTTTTAGTTTTTGCCTGAATGGCTTGTTTAGCAAACATCCCCAGATATATAGTCATATTGGGAAGAAGTTTGGCATCAAGTGGAATCACTTTCCTTTATTTTTCAATTATAATTAATTGGAGTGTATTTACAGAAAAGAGGGATGATAGGTCTTGTTGCCTCTTTAAGGTTGGTGGATGCTTCACTATTAAATAGTTTTTTGCGCCCCCATGTTGATGTTCCAACGTTGCAGAGTATGATACCCTTAAATTAGCAAATGAAGCATAAGATCCAAGGAGAATTGTATTGAAGAGTTTCTGTTTGGACCCAGGGATTTCACTGTGGGTACAAAATTTTTAAAGACCCTATACTATTGGTTTGTATATAAACAATGAGTTTTAGAAAATTTACAATGAAGATATTAAGTTTTAAAATACGTGGCACCTCTCAAAATTTCAAAACCCTAAATACAGTGTACACCACCAAATTTTGTTCTCCTGCAAATACAAGATCTATCAATCTAGAAGTTTACTACTACAAAGGTTTTCTCTTCTTCAATCAACAAAGGCCAACTGCATCGGAATCCATTGATGACCAATTGGATTGAATCTACACTCTACTCTCTCTCCCTTCTTCTTTTTCTAGCTGAAACCCTAGTGGCTAGCTTCTCTCTATATGTATATTTATTTGTTTTTAAAATTATGTTTTCTTTCTTTCTTCTTTTCCCAATAGTTTCCATCACAAAAATCAGCTCTCTTTCTAACAAATTCCTTTATTTCTTTCCCTTCTACAAACCCCGTCCCCCACCCCGTCCTCCTCCCCAGGTGTAACTTCCTGGTTGGATCACTATGAAAACTAAGATATAAGACGTCCTCTTTGTATACAGGGGGATATAAGCAAGTGCATTTTCGTTTGGCTTGAGGGATTTAAAATGAATGGATTTTAGGGTTTATTATTTGAAAAGCGTAATTTAAATTTTCATTTAATAGTCTAGATTTAGATTTCAACAAGATACATAGATTGATTGACAACCTTGCATGTGTGGATTTCAAATAACAAGGTGAAAGGAGTTATTTGAAATTCACACCAACAAGGATTCTAGTTGCAATAACGCCTCTACTCTTAACATGATCTTGAGCTTTCTGATCCAACTTAATAGCTAATCTTCATTTGAACCTCAAATCCTCTTGATTTCAAATCCATCATAATCATATTGGAACACACCTGTATTGATGTACTTGCATCACAAATACTTCTTAATGACCAGTCAACTTTCTCCAAAATGAAAATGGCTCCAATTTCTAGGTTGGATGCCTCTTTCTACAAAATAGGTTGCATTTTTCAACTTAAATAATCCTTATATTATTTAATTATCACAATGGGGGGAACCTTGGCACAACGGTAAGGTTGCTCCATTGTGTTGACGCTAAAATCGGCTGGCTAAAACCGATTCTAAATTAATGTAATACGGGCGTGCCAGAACCAATAATGTGGTTCGAGTGTAAATTGTTAACTGTAGTCCTTTTGAGAACGTTGACTTTCAAGCGATGCGAGGAGAAAGAGAACAATAAAACTCCTCTTTTGAGTTCGGGATTGCCTTAATTAAAGGACTTTTATCAGTGAATAAATATAGTAACAATTTGAGAGAATAGAAAGGGGAGAGAAATAGATATAGAAAGAAATATAGAGAGAGATTGAGAGAACGAGATATAGAGAGAGATAGAGAGAGATATAGAAATAGTAAGGATGCTATTCTGGGAAAGGGCTTGAGAAAGCAATAACAATAATAAAATGTTTTTGAGGGTGCTGGACCTCTTACAAAGCATGCCTTTAGCATTATTTATAGAAAACTACATAAAACAAACTCCTACACACAAACACTTTACTTGCTCTACAACTCTATCACAACTAACTGTAAATTCAAAATAAACTAATCCTAGGAATAGACATAAATATGTAACTAAAATCAACTAAAAGATAAATATTAAAACTATTATCCCTGTCCATCATTTGAAGTTCAAAATAATTTTATCTGTGGCACCCTTGCATGCAATTTCAACTTCAATCTATGTGGAATATCACCCTTTTTTACTGCCACATCATCAATACAAAATTTACTAAAATGGGTGTCAACGCATTGTGACCTGAAGGTCACAAGTTCGTGCATTGGGTTTGCCCTTTTTATGAGCATTCTTGACAAATAACACACTTTTTTTTTTTTTTTTTTGACCATCAAATCAGCAAAGTTGTACTAACGCTGAAACTGGAATCACAATTGTTCCGGGCATTGGCTTTGTAAAGCATTTTTTTTTTTATTTTTTTTTATGTTCCCGTGCAATCTCTCATCCTTTTGTACAGGTGAACGCTGGACTGGAGTGTGGAATTAGGACGGAGGACTTTAGTGATTGGGAGGTGGGAGACATTCTTGAGGCTTTCAAGATGGTGCAAAAGAAGCAAACTCTTGAAAAGGCATCGGCTGCTATAGAAGCCGCGCTTAAAGGAGTGGGAATTGAATTGTAAAGAAGGCACCATAAACGTGTTTTTGTTGGTTGACATGCTTCTTGATCTAGTCGGAACGTGTTTTTGTTTGTACAGGCACAATCCATTCCAGGGATTTGACACAAGTCAGCAGGTGTAATACAGGATGAGTTCTCACAAATTGCAATGCATCCCATCCCGAACACATGGAGGAATAGAGCTTGCAGAGATTTTTGTCCATTGTTGTATCCTAGTATGTTAGAGTGCAAGGAGTTAAAATGTATCTGATATCAGCCCTCCTTGTAAAGAGAGGAACAGGAAAGTGCACTGGATGGTCCTGTGCAATTTAATGCAAACCCATGCAACTCTAATGTAAATGCTCATGTAAAACTTCAAGGGTGCAACAAATTACATCGAGATGCAACATTGAGAACACAACACTTTTTCATTGTTGTCGCATTCTCGATCTAAGTGCATTGTAAAGTACTAGAAAGGATCTCGGTTCAGAGGAATAGAGGGATCAAAATTTCAAATTGGTCAAGATTTTACTATGCTAAAATATGTACTAGAGTGATTTATGGTAGAGAAAAACTCGTCTTTTTTTTTTTTTTTAATTGCAATGTCATATTAAGATATGAATCTTCCACTTTCGAGTGTATTTTCCCCCCTTCAATTTCTTTTGCTACCGGGCGAAGAATGTGCAGAAATCATACTTCTGGCACGTGAATCATATTATCAAAACACAGAAGGGGCAAAAGAGGTCTATTGCAGAGGGAAGCAGGTTTAAGGGGGCCAAGCTTTTCAACATTATGCATGCATGACTACTATGGGGCTTTAATAGAAACCTAGTGAGCGTCAATAATAAATAAATTGTCTTCAATCAGCTCCAAAGCTGTCCAGGTTCTTTCATAGCTCAACGATAATCCGGTTTATATCAACGAAAGAGAAAGATAGGCATGAATATTGTTGGATTTCCTATTATGGAAGTGGAGGAGGTGGTAGCTTTGGCTATGGAAGTCGAATGACATGGAAGACATGGTTGTGAGTATAATAAATCTGTCCCATACAAAACAAGTTATCCTAGCAGTCACCAAGCAGCGTATCAACAAGCCTATTTTGAAAAGGGAAGTCTAGAAAAAAGGAAAAAAAAACGATACAAAAACAAAACACAATTTTAAATGCAGAAAAAACCCTCCCTTTAAGCATGCTAATTTCAGAAACATTCATTATATGATATAAACTTTATCGATATTTCAAAACCTTGATTTGACGGACCATGGTAGAATTAGCGTTCAAGCTGTCAGCAAAATTGCCTTCACTAGTATGCCAAAAAGGTGACTCAAGTTTGCAAACTCCTTTCCAAATACAATTCAAAACTACTTCTTTTATTATTATTATTATATTTTTTTTTATAGGTAAATGATAAAATTGTATTTCATAATTTAACATGGCTTGCAAATATTCAAATCCTACAAGACATGGAAATTACAAATTACATTTACACCTATTTCTTTCCTCTGTATGCCTTTTCTCTATCTCCAAAGATTGTGCCATTTCAAGAATCCTGTTCTATGGGCTTTAGATGGTCAATCTGATAATTCTTTACATCACCTTCCAAAATTGATACAAGGACATTTGAGATGGCCTGTTACAGTGACAGCTTTCCGAACCTGAAATCATTTTAAAAGAGAATTTAAAAAGCTGCATCACAGGGCTACATGAAAAAATGAATAACATGTGGACTAGTTAAGTACCGAAATCCAATCACTGACTCCCATATTCTTCGCCATGAGCTAATTTCTTGTGCACGAGGTTCAGAAACAAGGACCCCCATGAGCTTCTCAATTGAAGGCTCCATTTCTTCGACAAACCTGACAGATTCCGAGAGTCGATTGAGAAGGTTTACCAAAGCAATCACTTCATTTCTTTGCAACTGCAGCTGTAAAACCAACAAACTTACTTTAGAGAGATGGATTCACATATACCATCAATTAATGACACAAAATTTGTTGTCCACAAAAGCAGGACTTCTTATTTGGGAGTTTTGAAATGGTAGAGAGAAATTTTGAACAGCATAAAAACACAAAAACTCACAGGTAGATCTGGTTGGCCCTGACCATCAATGGAGAAGAGGATCTTTAATGCAGTACCGAGACCAAGGACCTGAAGCTTTCCCCATAGGCGACACTTCTCGCATCCAACACAATCCATCAGTGCACTGCAATATGTAGAATTGTAGATATGAAATAAATAGCAATATAACACAATCAATTAATGAGTAGTTCAAAAAATTCAAAAGAGAAACATTTTGCAATTGTGCCGGTTTTCATGATGACGAGGGTAACAGTTATTAATATGCAGTAAATTTTGGACCACCTGAAGAACACGATCACATGGAAATATATTTTCTATCTACTTAGAATTTGGCAAGGTAAATGGTTTTTTCCAAGCATAAACTGAGAGGGAAAACAGGAAAAACAGTTCAGATTGAAACCTAATGTTTCTGAATTGCTTTTGAATCTGTTGCTTCAGTTCAGGTCCACTTTGACCTTGCCACAGTTTAGCTTCATCAAAAGGAAGTGGACATGCAGTTTGTAGTTTGGGATTGTAAAGTAGCTGCCGCATCAAGGACTGTGCTTTCAGGTCTTCCGCATGGTTACCAGTGTCATACTCTGCCTGCTCCAAATAATCTGCTGCCTAAGAGTAATTTGGAATATGTCATCGCAAATAAATAATAAATAATAAATAGATAAAAATACAAAGGAATTCTAACAAGGACATGCAGTAAGTACTCACTTTTGTCACGGCTCGGAGAACAAAGAGGAAAGTAAAATACAGGTTTCTGACACGATCTGGGTATCTCAAAACACGATCATACATCAATTCGAGATTTTTACCCCACTGAAATTGTAGCAAAGGATTTGTCAAATTCCTGGTGTATCCGTAAAAAGTACAATTTAAGGTTCTTTAGGGTAAAAATTCAAGGTCATTCATCAGTTCTGCAAACATTTTTATTTTTAGTCCCTGAATAAAGTTACTGGGAAAATATTCTCCATCAAATAAACAGAAACCAAGGCAGTTTAGTATCCCAGGAACATTAGTATTGTATTTGTAGTGGAAACCTATAACAGGATCTTCACAACAAAAAATTAGAATGAAAAAAATCGTGTTGGAGAAAATGAGAAAGAAAGAGAACCAACCAGATTGGTTGTTTCATCGATGAGATACTCAGCAGCTATGTGAATTGAAATTGAGGAGTGAAGACCAGATATTAACTTGTATAACACTTTCTTCTCCTGGCAAATCTCTCCAATTGAATCTGCATAAACAGTTAAATCTCATGACTTAATTAGCATAAAAAGGTCATTTAGTGATACCAAACTACAATCAGATTCACCGCAATAGAAAGATTAACATCAACTCGAGATGATATCAAACTACAGTCATATTCACAGCAAGTGAAACATTAAAAAGAGATCCTCGGAACACTTGCAAGATACAGTATTATCAGCTATTTTCTTCAAACAAGGACTGTAATCAGCTTAAAAGTTAGTATAAACTGCATAGTAACAATAATTATTGCTGGGGAACAACTCCTGCTTCTGTTGCATGGCCACTTTTACAGGTGAACACCACGTCAGATATCCAACAAGTAGGGAGAACAACTCTTCAAATAGGCATTGGAGTGCCATTTATATCACTTTCCCAACTTGAAGGACCACAATTTGCCTCACCTAAGCATTTTGACACCTCTTAGCGGGAAAAAAGAAAAAAAAGAAGAATTGGCACTGCCAATAATACTAAATCAGAATGGGTCACCTTCTTTTGTATCAGATAATCAACATAAAGCATTGTACACAGTGTAAATTTGAGTAAAATAGTAAAATTAATTACAATCATGAGTATGGATCATCAACTCACATTTAGGACAATTTTCTGAATATATAGCATCCCATATCCTTCTGGCTGATGGACCAACATAGCCAGTGTAACGCTCAGGATTCAGTTGGAGATTTACATAAGTCATCTCACCTGCGGTAGAATTTGTCAGTCGATCTCAACACTTTTAACAAATAATCTATTCAAGAAAAGTAACAATATTCATACCCCAGAAGGAAAACATGGTATAATGTTGGAATTCACAACATAAAATAATAATAATAATAATGACGGCAATGTTTCAAAATCACAAAATTAACATGAGAAGAGTTATTATTGTGAAGTTCAAGAAACAAGATGATTTCTGCTATAAAGAAAAGGTTTTAGGTGGTTCTTTGGTCCTTGCTCTACGTAATCGTGTCTCCAGAAACCAACATATAAGACCTTCAGGCCTTGATGAACAATGAAAATATGCAGCCTCATAAAATATAAGAGATAATTACCGTTATCAGTCTCATCATCGTTGGTCCATGGGTTGTCTATTATCTTCCAGCCTCTGAAAGCTTTACTATCAAGTGTGCGATCAACAGTAGCCTGTGGCTTTCCCTCTTGGCACACCAAATCATCAGATGAAAGACCACGGTGGAATGGCTTCTTAAAAGTTTCTGGAAATTCATTTTCTGGACATTCACAAACACTACAATCACGCAAACGGCACATGCCATCATCAGGCCAGAAAGGACAGTCACACCACAACTTAACCTGCCAAAGAGATGTATTTTTAAGTAATCACAAACAAGTAATCCAAGCTTTTGTTAATAAAAAGGTCACCAGAAATAAATTTCCTAAATGTAAAACATTATATCTTTCAATTTGAATTTAGGATACCATCTTGTGGTTGGAAAACATGATCAAGTCATGCTTTCTGAGAGTGACTGTTGTCACATAAATGCTCTCTGGAGTCGGGACCTATCTAAATTGATAATAGGGACTAAAGGTATAGGACAATTAGAGATGAATAACAATCCTTCATTGACATAACAACATCCCAGTATGTTGGTTTTTAATCGAGATAGTAGACAGATAACGCAGTTTCCTTTGTAAACACAACAGCACCTAGGATACCACAATTCTGTTACTAGGCTGTGTCTAAATCTTTGTTAATTGGACACGGTTATATATGATCCAAAGTTCCATCTGACATAACAGCAATTTAGTACACAATCGTACAAAAAAGAAGAAAAGAAAAAACGACTAGTTTATTAGTTCCCCCATATCGTCAAGCTAACAGTATCGGTATTTGGTAAATGTAGGCCCTAATTGTGGATCCACAAAAACTCATGCAGCTATAATACTTAAACCTATTTAGAAACTCATTCAAGCTCAGTGAGAGAGATGATGCAGTAATAAAGGGAATTAAATAACGCAAGTTATGAGGCAGTTGTCTATGTATAAACTCATGTCCATGACTACAGGGCATCAGTTCCAGCTTGTGTCAGTTGATCTCTCTCCCATTATGTCATACCAGTACCATTTCAAGTCCTGTGAATATCTCCAAATGGGTTTGTAATCAACAATCACAACCTAAAAGGATATAGTAGTATCTTGTAAAATCCTGTTCATGTACCTTGCTAATACCACAAATTCATCAACATTTTTTACTTTCAGGATACCCATATTTCCTGCCAGAACTGCATATGCATATCTTTAATAAGATAAGCAGAAGAGACTACAGGCTGCACACTATTTGCATCAAAATCAAGCAACCACATAAGGACTTAATTTGAATGGAAAAATCAAAGTTCACAAAGGCTTCCCAAATGTAGATAATTCGAGAGAAACTAACAAAACATATTAGAAAAGTTTTGGCTACTTCTATCTCATCATTTTATATTATATCCAAAAATCAAACCTCAGATTCTTCATATACATGAAATCTAACCCACTTTTGACCCCCAAGGACAAAGAAATGGAAAAGAAAGATGCGTGAAAAATAATTTATTGCCATTTATCAGCAAACATAGTTATTCAGACAATAGCTATATGATATCAATAGAGAACAAAGTAGACATGAAGTGTTCCCATCTCCACACCATAATCTAGCATAGCAAGCGTTTGACACACAGGGATTCTCATAAAAAATGTTCAGCATGATTTCCACTACAAAGTATCTAATGGACAACCACATAAACTTTAGAGTGCACACCCTTAGTTTCATAGATCAGCGACCTGGGAGCTGATCCTGCTAGTCCAAAAAGAAGGCTAATAATATATATATATATATATATAAACATTAGAGTGGATACACTTAACGCTCTGTTTGGTAGGATGGAAGCAATAGGGACATTATTACTATTATATATAAAATAAAGTGACATTATTAACTTTCAATCTTTTGCATGCTTTTGGACAATGAGGGTGTAATAGAAAAAAATATATAAAACTTCTCCTTCACTTCCTTCTTACAAAACAATAGAATATGTAATTCCTCTTCCCTTCTAGTCAACCAAACGAAAGAAAGGAATGACATCTTTTCTTCCATACGGATGCCTCATTCATATACTTACCCTCCCTCCCATCCACTTTTCCATCCTTCGTACCAAATAAAGGATAAGTGTCGTAGACCAGCTACCTGAGATCTGACTTTGAAAGTCCAAAAAGAAGGCTAATAATAATTAAAAGTATCAACTTTAGAGTGGATACACTTTGGCATAGATCAGCTATCAGGGTGCTGAATTTCCTAACCTAAAAAGAAGACTTAATAGTAAAACCTTGCTACCAACAGTTTCTGGTCGGCATTTTTCTTTTGAAACTCTGTCTATTTGCAATTTTTTTTTTGGCATACTCTCTTAATAAATGTGAGCAGTAGACCACTTGTTAATGATCAACTAGAGAAGTAGTGGCAGCTTCTTATTTATAAGCTTCAGTTATTGCATCTGGATGATTGGCTCTAAGATAATACTTGTTAATAGCTTCCCATTGAAGTTATAAGGAAGTAAAAAGTATAAGTGGTTCAAGGGAGGGATACAAGACAATATCATAACCAGAAAACTCAAGTCTATTCAAGTTAGTCAAATTTTCATGAAAAATAAATAAGTGGTTGCATTGGCCCAAAAGGGGGATATATTTAAATATTGTCAACTAGATGGAGACCACATCCTGATTCCCGAAGAGATTGGTAGAACAATGATGAAAGGTATCAAATGCATTCAATTACCTCATTGTGTTTCTGCTTCCAATTTTACAAATTTCTTCCATCCAAGAAAATAACAAAAGGACATAAAGAAACACCAAACTTCTTCAACAAAATTTATGCAAGTTGTTACTTGGAAAAAAGCAAATTAGCAATAAAAATAAAACAGAACTTACAGACCACTACAAGAAAATCATCAAATTTGAGAATACAACAATTCATACCAGACCTTGAAATAACGGAAAAAGGGAGTTGTGACGAGCTCTTGAAGCAAAGGATGTAACACTTCACCGTTAATACTGTCTACTGTCTCATAATCACAACAGCAGTCCTCAACCATGCCTGTATATTTACGCGAATCCTGCACCAAAACAGAAGTCAATTGAGTCATCAACTAAAACAATAAAATTCTTTACATTTCTAATCAGATCAACAGTTGGCCCATAACATTATATATAAAAACAAATAGTAATTACAAGTCTAATATAGTCACATGCTTTTAAAAGGGTTCCACAGAAAATGATCCTCAAATACATTCTAGTAAACAGCTAATTATTCATGATTACATTCTAATTCACCGCTTACATAGTGTCAAATGAGATGTAGATAAACTTAACCAATCCCTTGTGGTTAACCTAGCAATTAAGCTAATTTTGTTATGTTTGTGATGAACAATTCTTAACTGTTTTCTATAATTCATTGGATATGCTATATGCAACAAAAACCAAATGAGAATTTAACTCCACAGCTAGAATAGTCCTGATCTTCATTCTTCGTAAAAAGTGTATCAATGCAAATCAAATTTAAAACCATCTGCTATTTCAAAAAATCAAAATTAATGCCTTGAAAACAGAAAGACAAAAAATAAAACCAAAATAAAAAGAAATGAAGTTTAATTGTAGAGAGAGAAACAATAATCGCAAAAATATTAGAGTGAGAGAGGGAACCTCAGTACAGTGGCAGGACTTTTGATTGGAGATCTTGCAGGAATGTCTAGAGGTGACCGCTGTGGCAAGTAACACGACGATCACAGCCCCAACCATCCATCCCCATCTTTTACCACCACGATTCTTCTCTGTAATCTTTGCTTCCACCATTACAACATATATGTATCTCTATAAGATATGTATTAGATATATCGATTCAAAACCCTATGAGTATCACGAAAGCACTAGAACGTTATACATATAGATATGATTTGTCAATGCCATTGTATGAAACAAGAATTAATTAGGGCTTCTTATTTGCTTTTGTCCGTTGAATTCAACACGAAAGCACACAGTTTTTTTGTCCGATGAATCCACGCGCCTTTCTTCGAAGTTTCAATCTCGGCTACGAGAGGTGTAGGACGACGCAAGACCTACTCGCAGAAGAAGCGAAATAAGTGGACACGCGATCGACAATATTGTTATTTGAGGCGCGTGATGAGAATTTCCAGTTGAGCGAGTGTAATAAGCATCAATGAATTAAATGTGCATTTAAGTTGCATTAGATGAGGTCGGTGACGATGGTGTAACCAATAGAAATCATGCTTTAGCCACTTGGAGTACTGAAAATGAAAATTCTTAGTAAAGTTGGCAGGTGTAGCGTGCACCTGACCGTACCTTATCATATTCTTCGTAAATGAGGAATCTACAGTTAATACCGTTTAATAAATTCTCATGATTTTTAATCACTTTCTGTGGGCAAGTATTGAATTGTCCTCCACCATTATCACCCGATTGATTCAATCTGATTAAATTAATGTTGGATTTACTGTTTTAATTAGAGAGTGACTGCTAAAACCATTGGTGATTGAATCTAATCAAAATTAATATATAAATTTATTTATAACATATTATACTCTTTTGGGTTCACTGTTTTTAACATTTTTTTGTTTTTAACATTTTAATAGGGAGTGATTGGACCACAGTACCACTTAGAGATTCAATCTAATGAAAATGTAATACGTATGTGTCCCATTTTAGATGTTTACTTTGAAAATTTTAGCATTTTAAGAGATTTTGGGATTTTCAAATTTACCTTTTGAAAATCAATCTATTCAAATGTTTAAATTTATTTGTAATATATTTACACTATTGCAAGGTAGACAACTTTTAATCTTAATACGTCTTGGCAGGTCAAAACGGACTTGTCAAATTTACTCCTAAAAATTATATTAATCCGTCATTTTGACTTTTTTGTTGTCCAAACTTTTAAAATCATTAGCAATAATGCATGTATATCATAATATGCCATACTCAATTTTAAATATTCAAGAAGTTTTATTTATTTATTTATTATTATTTTTTAATTAGAGAATGATTGGATCATTATATTTATTTATTTTTTAAGAAGTGTTAGAAATTAGATTAATAAATGCATAGAGTTGAAGTCTGACACTTCAAAATTCACCAAGGGGTCTAAAACTACTTAGTGATTCAATATAATTAAAATTAATTTATAATATATTATTATACTCTTTTGGGTTCACGGCTGTTAATAGGGAGTGATTGGACCACAATACCACTTAGAGATTCAATCTAATGACAAATGTATTTGTAATACTCATCTGTCCAACTTTATATGTTACTTCGGAAGTTTTTTTTTTTTTTTTTAAAAAAGATTAAGCAAATTGTATAAATAAAATAAAGAGTACAAAAAAGGCCTTTGGCCCAAACTACAGCCCAACAGGCAAACAAGGCCATTGGAGGCAAACCCGAAAGCAATAAAATAAACCCAAAACCCTGCACTAAATCAACAAATAACCGTCCAACTTTTAGCATTTTAAGAGATTTGCTTTTAATATTTTTTTTATTGCATTTTCAAATTTATCTTTTGAAAACCAATCTATTCAAATATTTCAATTTATTTGTAATATATTTACATTATTGCAAGTTAGACGGTTTTTAATCTGAATAGGTCTTGGTTAAAACGAACTCGTCAAAATTATTTCGAAAAATTATATCAATTCGTCTTTTTCACTTTTGATGGTCCAAAGGAGTTTCAAAATCATCAGCAATTAATGAATGTATATTATAATATATTCAAGAAGTTTGCAAACCATGGGATATGCCGGAAGTCCCATAGCTCCTATGGTTTCATCTGATAGCTATTCATTGGGATAAACATAAATGGACTTTAAATATATATGGCAGAAGGTCCACTTAGGTTTTAAGGTAGTTTCCCAATTTATATGGTCATCGCATGTCCACACACACTGTGAATGGGGTTGTATGGGAGGTTTTGTGGCTATAGAGATTGCAATGCAATGCTAAATTGAGTGTCAGGATGGCATCGATCCCCATCCACACAAAGTGTATTTTATCAACTACTTAACTAAAAGACCAATTCAATATTTTTTTGTTGAGTTAGATGATACTGAACTTATTTCTAATGATCAATTCTTTTAGGTATTGCAAATGTTCAAGACACACTTGGGTGTCCCTTTTTGTTACAATATGTAAAAATAAACCCCAAATTAACAAACTACAAGGACTCATACGTAAAATGTTTGCACATATTATATCTTCTCATTCTTCTCTACCATCTACTCCTTGTCAAGTCTCTTCTTCACCTGCAATGCAAAGTCATAGACCTTTTGCTGGCTAGGAAGAGAATTGGACACGCTTTCCTTTTGGATACATCTTTTAGCCCATGCCATCAGCTTGGGACACTCTGCATCTATGCTGAATTTGCCAAAGGTCTCATACACATGAAACCAGCAATAAAATGGAACAAGTGCGACGTCAACGTACCCAAAGTTCTCACCCCCAAAGTAAGGCTTGTCTCCTAGCTCTGCTTCCAACACCTTAAGGGTTTCAATGAATTCTGTCTTTGCCACTTCTTGTTCTTCTCCTTTCAATCTCCATGTTTTCCACCCACCACTTTGCATCTGCATATATTGCACAGTATTCAACTAATTAAGATACAAAACAAAATCAACAGGTAGACTATTTAGTGTGTGAACGTGCGTGTAATTAATAATTAATTATGATATGAAGTAATATTAATAGACCTTCTTGTCAATGTAATCACCCCAAAACCTGGCTTGAGCTCTCTGGTAAGGATCAGAGGGCAGAAGTGGGGATTTATCATTCCAAACCTCATCAATGTATTGCACCACTATGAGGGACTCACACACCGGTTTACCGTTGTGGATTAAAACCGGAATTTTCTTGTGAATTGGATTCATCTGCAGAAGCAGAGAGCTCTTGTTTAAGTTTAACAAGTCCTCTTCTTTGTACTCATGGTTGATGCCCTTCTCTGCTAATGCAATTCTGACCCTCAACCCAAACATGCTGGGCCAAAAATTCAACAGAACAACCTCATTGGACATTGCTTCAGATCTGTAGAGATCAAGAGAGTGATTAGAACAGAAGGAAATGAATTGGGGTAGCGTGAGAAGGCTATTATATAAACCAAAAATTTTCGTGTCAGTCTAAAATCCAACTTTGGAAAATGGGTTATTGGAGACTGAATTAGAGGGCCTAATCCAATATTATTCTATGTCATATTCCTTTTGCTTATGATCTTCCGAAAATGTCACTTTCAAAGACAAGGTGAACTATTTCTTGGACGGCATTTGTTAAACTTATGGCTCAAATTCTGCCATCTCAGCAAGTTCTTTTTCATCATCCATGACATCAGCAAGTATATTGCATCGTCAAGGTAAATGTTCAAGAAGCTGTGCCATGTGTGGTCTCCAAGCAGTGTGATCAACAAGCTTTTCCTAGGCGTGGTCAGCAAGTATATGTATATAGATATTATCAATTGGTGGCTCATTGTGGCTATAAATCGCCATGAAATCCATTCATCCGGGAGCATCCAAGATCATCATCAGTTTGAGCATTTTGTAATATTCGTAAGAGTGAGAGAGCTTGTGAGTGTAATTGGGTTTTTGGGTGTGAGTTACTTTATTTTGTATTAATTTATTTTCATAGTGGAATATTTTTCTGTCTTCTCCCCGTGAATGCAGGCATAACAGAACCACGTAAATTCTTGTCTCGTTTATGTGTACGCCTATTTTTTTATTGTCATTAATTTTCTCTTTTGTTCTCAAAACTCCTATTCTATCCTTTTTCTTCATAACAACATTGATAAAAATACAAAAGATACCCGCATACCCATTCTTATTTTTATTAAAGGAATCATCTTCATACAAAAGCTATACATATACCGAACATTAAATTGGGCAGAGGATAAAGAGAAAAAAACAATTGATAGATGTGACCGTGCGAATGTATACTGTGTATACACTGTAGAGATATATTCTCATTTGTGAGAGAGTATGTATACGATGTATAGATATAGAGATATAGAAGAGAATATTAAAATTCCTATACTACAATTTGTTTCAAAACCAACACCACCAATTCTCCCAACTCTTTTACTATCTATATATATATATAGATATTATCCCAAGGACAGGCTACAGCTAAGTATCGCCTTTATTGTAATGAAATATTGCGCCATATTAGTACACAAAAAGACTCCATAATTAACAAGAACACATATACATAGCTCAATGCAAACAAACATATATAGCAGTATCTATGTGCATATATCTTGAGGTCAATCAATCCTCATGCTTCACCCCAAACCAAATCTTCTGTTCCAAGACAAAGTCATAAATCTTGTCGGGGTCACGAAGAGAATTGGACACACTCTCCTTGTCCATGGCGCTAGCTTAGGACACTCTGCCTTAACGCTGAAGTTCCCGAAGGTCTCAAAGGCATGAAACCAGCAATAGAAAGGGACAAGAGCGATATCGAGGAACCCAAAGCTCTCACCACCAAAGTATGGCTTGTCTCCAAGCTGTCCTTCCAGCACCTTGAGGCATTCTATAAAGTCCTTCTTGGCTGCTTCCAACTCTTCTCCTTTTGTGGCCCATAGTTTCCTCCCAGTATCATAAATCTGATAGTACAGTGACACAGTTAGGAATTTGTTTATGGGCGCTGTAATAAAATTATAAAAGGGATTAAAAAAATAAAATTCAATTAATAGTGCAGTAAAACAATAAGTCGAAAAATAGTTAAAATGCAGTAAAAAAAAAAAATTAAATCATAAACATATAATATGGACATTAATAAACCAAACTGAATCAAACCATAAAAGACTAGTTTGGTGCGATAGATCTAACTTTTCCTCTGCTTATGCAAGATGCTGGAAGGAAAAGCTGACAATACGTCTAACTTTTAATATTATTTTGTTTGAAGTAGCTACTTTCAGACTCAAACTCAAGAGTGCACAAGTGTGGTTTTGATTTAAATCATAATTGGACCGCTACAACCGTGAAATCAAACCAAATAAAACTATGAAAGGCTAGTTTGGTTAGATTCTATCCACGGTTTTGGACATTAGAAATAAAAACATGTGCCATCATCATAGTGTGATTGGTTGATTCCATGCCTCCTGATTCTATGGTGTCCTTTATAGCCCATTTTCACTTATTTTCATTTACTTTTCCTGCAGGCATGAGATTAAGACTCGAACTATGTAACTGTACTGACAAAAGCTCAGTTGGGTGCATGTATTATAAAACTAAGAACCAACTTTATATATGTGAATAAATTAAATAAATTAAGCAAAACGCAACACCATTATATATATATATATAACACTTAAGAAATATCGTACTTTTGTGTCAACATAATCAGCCCATAACCTTGCTTGAACTCTTTGGTAAGGGCCAGATGGTAACAAATAGGGATGGCAAATTACTTATCCCCGCCGGGGCCCGCCCCATTTATAACAGGGATGGGGATTCTTTTAGCTAAACGGGAATGGGGATTGTGATAAATTATGGATCCCCACCGGGGCCGGGGATGGGGTAAACCCGCCCCGCCCTGATTAAATGTGAAGTTACTAAGATACCCTTACCTATGTTATTATAATTACCAATCTAACCTATGCTATATATATACCATAAATGTTAAAACCCTGAAACCTTGTCCTAATAACCCAAGTGGCGGCCTCCTCCTTCCTTCACCGTCTTCTCTCTTTCTTCTCCTAAGAATCGACAGCATTGGCTCTTCCGCTTCTTCCTAATCTATCTCCGATATCGTGTCTTCCCCCACACCGGCATCGGCTCTTCCCCATCTAATTCCATATCTAAGTTTGTTCATCTGCATATGCAAGTGCGTGTATATATATATATATACATATATATTGATTTTGCTCTTGGTTCTATCTGTAATCAAGATCTCACTGAGGATAAGCATGTCTCCTTTTTGATTGAAGAAATTCTTGTTCTGATTTGATCTGATCTATTACACACACACACACACACATATCTTTTTTTTTTTTTTGGAAAATGGTTGAAAAAATTCTTGTTCAAAGTGTCTGTGTGTGTGTGTGTGTGTGTGTGTATATATAATGGATCAAATCATTTTGTTTTTGATTGAATTGTTATTTTTATTTTTACAATTGGAGCTGAGATTTTTTTTTTTTACAATTGGAAATCCTGTATTTATGTGATATTGAGTTGCTGGAAAACTTAAGCGAGGGCAGGGCGTGGCGGGACGGGGGCGGGGATGACGGTGGCGGGGGCGGGGATGGGGGTGGGATTGAAATTTTGGCTGAGTATTGGGCGGAGATGAGGGTAAAATTTTTGGCCGGGGATGGTGATGGGGAATGGGATCCTTGCCCCGCCCTGTTGCCATCCCTAGTAACAGAGTAAGACCTTGGTCATTCCAGAACTCATCAATGTACTGGACTGCTACGAGGGACTTGTTGGGGAAACGGAAGTTTTAAAATTTTTATGAGAGTTTTACAAATAAAGATCTTGATTCATGTGTAAAGACAAGCTTTATACATGAAGAACATGATTATACATTCAATTAGAGATATAAAACTTACATCAAGGTTTGAGCAAACCTTAGATTTATCCTCTAAAATGAATGTTCTCACTTATTGTAGATCCCTTTCCTAAATACCTCTTTCATGGATCTCTATCTTTTTGTTAATAATCTTACCTTTAGGAATCACCCACAAGCCTGCATGAATGACCTTGGAAAGTTAAGCTTGTGGGAGCCTCTATCAGATGAGAACACTAACCCTAATTTTTTAGAGAGAAAACTTTTCTTGTTTTCTCAAAATTATTGCACAAAGGCGTAACCTAAATTATATATGGACCCCATGTATATATAGGCAAAATAAAAATAATAATTAAAGACATTATGTTTTTCTCAATCTCTAAAAGTAATGTAATATCTCAAATCTAATGGGCCTCCAATAACAAGTTGAGTTATGAGTGAGAATTCTTTGCGCTTATTATTTTATTGGTTACAATGAATTAATAATTGGTCCGGTCCATGTACTCAATTCAATTAATTCATAAATTAATTTCTAATATACTAAAAGAAATTAATTGAACTCCAATTAAATAATAAATAACTTCTAAGTCAATGTTGCACTTTCACCCCTTTATGCATAATTAGTTATGGGATAAATAAAGCCATCAATCCGATTATTTAATTAATATATTTATTTTGGTACCTTTGATTATTTCTGATTTGATCACAATAAAATATTTGCTTGACAAATATAATAATTTAAATAAATAAATATATAGAAAATCATTTTGTCTAAAAACACATGAAGGCCTTCGAATTTACTTTATGATTAACCATAATCAATATAAAATAAATACAAGTAGTAATGGTGCAAATATTGAAAATATAACCTTCTAACTATTAATTACATAATTACCCAAAGTGTCGGTTTATGGATTCCGAAGAATTCGCCGAACAAATCAAAGTAATTACTAATTAATAAAAGAGTCTATACTTCTTTCATGCTTAAAAGTCAAATGCCATGATAGTGATAGGGAGCAATTGCATACGACGGCTCTCGCAATATATCTCAACTTAACGCGGATCCAATTCAAGTCTTAGTTAATAATGAGTTCATCTATAATTACCGATTATGAACTATTTATGATTACTATTTATATTCATGTATTGATCGCCGTCATATACATATATAAATATATCTTGTAATCAAGTGAACACTATCAATTCCATAATGAATCGAAACATAATACATTGAATTCATCAATTGTATAAATCATAAATATTTCAGATATATCATGAACATATGTCACTTTAATCAAAATAGAAATTTGCTATGCCAGGGCATATAAATCCCAACAGGACTCACAGACCGGCTTTCCTTTGTGGATCAGAATTGGTATTTTGTTGTAAACCGGATTCATCTTGAGAAGAAATGAGCTTTTATTGCCAAGCAAACCCTCTTCTTCTTTGTATTCATACTTGATGCCCTTCTCTGCTAGTGCAATTCTGATCCTCATGCCAAACATGCTAGCCCAAAAATCCAACAGAACAACCCTATCTGACATTGTTACTGATATTGCAGAAATTAGGATATTGGTTAGAACTTAGAAGAGAAGGAGCTGAATTTACATGTACATGATGGAATAAATTATGAGATATTATATAAACCAATTTTCTCCTTCATTATTGAAAGAATGGGTGGCTGCAATTCTAAAGAGAGAATTATCAATAAAGTTGTCATTTTCTTAAATTTTTGTATAATCGTTTAGGGCTGAATTATCCATTCAAATGCCTTTACTATTATTATTATTATTATTTTTATTTTTATAGAAAAAATGTTAGAAATTATTCCTCCGTTTCAAATTAAGTGTCGCTTTTGGTAATTGTGAAAAAAATATCAGAAATTACTCCATCCGTCCCAAATTAGAGTCACAATGACCAAATGCGACACTTAATTTGGGACGAAGGGAATAGTTGTTAGTGAGAACTGGAGATGAAGATGGAATGCAAAGCCGGAACTCTTAAACACACGAAACAACCCAAGCATTCGAATAACAAGACATCTTACCAACTATCTAAATTATGAGATGTTATATAAACCAATTTTCTCCTTCATTTGACTTCAATTTGTCCAAAAGCATATCCATTGAAAGAATGGGTGGTTGCAATTCTATAAAGAGAATTATCCAGTAAAGTTGTCATTTTCATACATTTTTGTATAATCATTTAGGGCTGAATTATCCATTCAATTGCCTTTACTATTATTATTATATTTTTATGGAAAAAATGTTAAAAATTAGTTGTTAGTGAGGACCAGAGAAGGAGTGAGAGAGAAAAAAGGAGGTGAGAATGCAAAATCTGAAATCTAAAACACACAAAACCAAGCATCCGAATAACAAGACATCTTACCAACTATCTAAGGAAAATGAGAGTATAGGACGAAATAATTTCATTTGAGGCCATAATCACATATATACACTAATTCACACATTTCCGACACCCACCGATAGACTCACATGCATAGACATTTCCGACACTCATTGACTTTTTGTCACATGCATACAAATTTTTCTTTACACTTTCAAGAACAAGGTAAAGATACAAATAACACTGGGCCTAGTCTAGCATTCTCTGTCATTTTCCTTTTGTCAAGTTTAGATTGCTGTTCTGAAAAAAAAAAAGATAACTAAAATAAAATAAAATTCAAGCCAACTCTAGTGTCACGGGCCTAGAGATTTGGCGCAGCGGCACGGCCCGTGCAGTACCAAAACGTTGTTTCAGCTCGCGCAAGCGCCCTAATCAGCCACCACGACCTGCCCTCCCAAGAATACATGCTGACTGGTTTCGGCCTGCCATGGCCTCGTCAGGGGAACAGGGAACGGGGAACGGCTCCAGCTCCCAACCAGTTTGTGCAGGGATGGCCAACTCTCTTCTTCATAGTCAAGTCCACGACTAGCGACAAACACCTCGAATTGAACCGAGTCGACCTGCTTGAACTCTGAAGAGGTACCATCTGGTGGTCCTGCACGCCCCTTCCCTGGAACCATTCCCAGTCAATGAATGTTCTTAGCCAACCAGCATGCGTGTCTTCTATGCTCATGGCGTCATTAGGAATCGGAACGTGACATTCTCCCCCACCCAAATCCTGCGACGCCCTCGTCGCAGTGCGGCGCTGACTCCGCTGCGTCCTACATTCCAAAGTCTCTCTCCTCCAAGTGGTATGCTCGCCTGCTCACCATCGCTTCCTTGTACAACCCATGAAACAATTCCCAGTCAATGAATGTTCTTAGTCAATTAACATGCGTGTCTTCTATGTTCATGGCGTCGTTAGGAATCGAAACGTGACACTAGGCACCCAATTTTATTTATTTTCTTATTATGTTTTAAGTTAATAGTAGGTCAATCTTTTGAAAACTAAATTAGTACTCAAAATTCCTTTTGAATATACAAATATCCTGAGGTTAGAAATTCAATAACAGAGGTTCAATGTGGGGTAAAGCAACGTTCTTACATGCATAAGAGAAAAAGAGAAAGGGACAGGTTCAACTTTGTGCATCACGGGGTGGACTATAAATAGGCCCGAAAATGACTATAGATACAGAAAATGACGTACAAATCAAATCATTTTGTGCCACTTTTTCAAAGCACATGGTGGACTTTAAGCCAAGTTGGCTCCCACAGCACTGTTGATATTGATCCTCAATTGTCTCCAAGCTCTGTTCTCATTTTTTTTTTTTTTACTTTTTTTTTTTTATAAAATATATATAATATATATCTCACTTCCCTAATCTGTCTTTTAAAACTGATTTTTATTAAGAGGAATCGTTGTAGTTAACTAGACCATTTTTTAACTCGCGGTTATAATGCAAACTCCGAATGTCTATGCCCATCCATAACTCACAGTAAGACAGAGATCATACTATTAGACTAAAAGCTCCTAATGAGACACTCAGGATGGTACATGGTATCATCATAAATATTTGACAAACTCATGGAGAGAAATATTGAAACTTTTAGTCTATAGCAAACTTCATCTGAAACCAAGCAAGCACACCAAAGTTTATTTATTTCCCTTTTACAACAGCTAACACTTTTTCTGAAGAAAAATGAAAATTACAAGAACTGCATAAAGATCTGTGACTTCTCCAAATTCTTTAACAGGAATTATCCCAAGGACACAGCTAAGTGTCCCCTTTATTTTAACCAAATAGTGCACCATCCTAAGAACACAAAAAGACTCCATAAACAAGAACACATACAGCAGTATCTGATTTGCATCTTGAGGTGAAGCAATCCTCCTAATTCACCCCATACCTCTTTTTCAGTTCCAAGACGAAGTCATAAACCTTGTTGGGGTCACAAAGGGAACTGGACACACTCTCCTTCTTCATGCAACTCTCAGCCCATGCCACCAGCTTAGGACACTCTGCCTCTACACTGAAGTTGCCGCAGGTCTCATAGGCATGAAACCAGCAATAGTAAGTGACAAGAGCAATATCGAGGAACCCAAAGCTCTCACCACCAAAGTATGGCTTGTCTCCAAGCACTCCTTCCAGCACCTTGAGGCATTCTATAAACTCCTTCTTGCCTGCTTCCAATTCTTCTCCTTTTGTGGCCCATGTCTTCCTCCCAGCATCATAAATCTGTTACATATGTACCACACTATTTGAAATTTTGATATAGAGAGAAAATATATACTATACACACGCGTGAATAGAAAGACATCCATCATCCTATCCGATTAAATCTTGATATCTAACAAGAAAATATTTCATGCAATTTTTTATTTTTATTTTTCAAGCAAACGCACACACATTCATAATATTGTCCCTAGCAAGACTAACACTCGACCTCCCTCTTGAGAAGGAGAGATCATACTATGGGTCGATGCCTATCGGTGATTTCATTCAATAACTGTGCTCAGTGCGGTTCCTCTCCTACTTTTAGTATTATTTTGCTCAAAGTAGCTGCTTTCAGTTTCAAGAAGCCTGAGATCTTATGCTTGTCAATCCAACCTATTACTATATATATGTGTGTGTCAGTTGCAATATATATATACGAAAGCAAAATTAAAGCAAGAAGTACAGAAAGAAATATCATACTTTCTTGTCAATATAATCAGCCCAGAACCTCGCTTGAGCTCTCTGGTAAGGATCAGACGGTAACAGAGGAGGAGCTTGGTCTTTCCAGACCTCATCAATGTACTGGACTGCTATGAGGGACTCACAGACCGGCTTTCCGTTGTGGATCAGGACCGGGATTTTCTTGTGAACCGGGTTCATCTTGAGAAGCAGCTCACTCTTGTTTCCAAGCAAGCCCTCTTCTTCTTTGTATTCATATTTGATGCCCTTCTCTGCTAGTGCAATTCTGATCCTCATGCCAAACATGCTAGCATAAAAATCCAACAGAACCACCTCATCTGACATTGTTACTGATCTGCAGAAATTACGATATTGGTTAGAAGTGAAGGAGGAGCATTTAAAGATACAGTGAATAGGATCCTATATAAACCACAAATTTCTCATGTGAGTCCAAAATTGGCTGATGGAAAAATGAATGGTTGCAAACTATTTGCAATTTTAAAAGAGATGGATACCCGACCCACACGGTATAGATTTTGTTTCGGTACACAACCTCTTATAATTTTCAAAATCCGTAGGACTTTCCCGTATCAATAACTTTTCCTTACCTACATGTGTTGAATGTGGCTAGTAATAATAACTTTGGCTTTTGTAAATGAGTTATCTATTGTTTATGGAGACATCACCCTAAGTTTTCCTAAGTGACAAAAAAGCCTATGATTCTTCATTATCTAAAAAGGTTATATGTTTGTGCCTTTTCATTGTCCAAAGCAAGTGTGAGCTTTTTCAAGGGTTGCATGTCAGTAAAAACCAAAGAGTATATATAAGAGCAGACTAGTCTTGTAAAAACAACTAAGCAACGTATTCACAAAGATAGAAAGAGTGAAGAATTAGAGGAAGACAGATCAAGTTGTGGCCAGATTAAAACAAAGGCAAAAGGGGACTTTTAGCTTAGGAGATGCGCTGATTTGTAGTGTATCTGGCTGAAAATAGAAAATATGTTTGCGTGTGTTTGTACATGTATAATCGGCACAGAATAGGTAAAAGAGTGAAAGCCTTTTGGTTGAAATATGTGGATATCCCCTAATTGTGTAGGCGCATTTTGAGTGCAAAGTAAACAATATTTACACAATGTGAGAGGGTCAAGACATGACGCATATAAATATAGTGGGTCAGAGTTTTAGAGCTATACATATGTCACGTTCTATATTACAGTTTTATTTTAAGTTCGCAATGATAAAAAATAATACACAGTTCTCTATCCCTTCTTGGACCATTTAAGGTGGCTGTTAGCTTCTGTTTGTCTAATTCTAATGTAATATGGTCCACGCGTGTCCCTAAAAACAGAGGCAGGTTTCTTTTTAAAAATTAAATTATAATAGTATAATCTAGCCCCTTGGCGCATTTAGATGGCATCATATATGTAGATGGCATTATACAGGGAAAGTGACAAATAGTAGTGGAAGAAAAGAGACAATCTTACCCACTATTCCTTAAAAATGGTAGTCCTCATGAAATTTTTTGACTTAACTACCTAAAATCATTTAATCATATCTTGCTGGAAAATGGCACAAAAACAATGTGAATAATCCCAAAGATTGTCACCGAATAAAGTTTTCCTGTGAGCTCTAATGTCTTTTTCGGAATCTCTTGACCATAGTCATAGATATACCACTAACTCACACAGTTCCGACACACACAGACTTTTGCTCACACAAATTTGTGCACACGCGTGCTTACATATTTTTTAATTACTCTTTCAAGAACAAAATTAAGACCCAAATGGCAAGAAATTGTATAAGTATATATGTAAGAACTTTCAAGAGTTTGTTTTCAGCGTCGAGGTATACAAATTTACCAATGCACAGTTGAACTGTTAGGTTCTAAATAATTTTGGCCTAACAAAAAATCAAGGGTGAAGAGCAAAAAAATTCCCCTAAACTATTGCCCTTTCGCAAATAACTCTTGATTTAAAAATTACCCCCGAATTATTGATTTGTTATAATTAAAGACAAATTCATTGTAAAAAACTATTTTACCCTTTCTCATTAAATTTTTTATTTCTTATTAAATTATTGTTATTATCTTTTCTCTTATATAAATATTAATTATATTATTTATCTTAATTTTATTATTAATATCAATTTATCATAAAAATAAAAAATATACGAGACCTTGAACAGCTCTTTTTAAATAAATTTGTAATTATCATTTTTTTTAATTGATTAATTTATTATTAAAATTTTATTATTTATAATAAAACATATTATAACCAATTTAAACACTTTGCATACAATATATTGATAAAAAATTAATAAAATATTTTTGAAAAAAATACCTTATTTTCATGTAATATAATCGTTAAAAATTTAAAAAATAATTAAAAAAATTAAAAATAAATTTATACAAATTTAATGGAAAATACCTCATCAAATTAGTATGATTTTTTTCATAATTTATTTACATAACAAAAATATATTAAATATAATTCAATAAGAAGAGGTTATTTAATGAAATATAATATAGTTTTAGTTATATATTGTAACAAAATAAAATAGTTTAGGAAATTTTATACGCAAAATATAATTTAAGAATTTTTTTTTTACACTTTACCCAAAAATCAATTATTTACCAAGCCCAACAGTTATCCAAGTCACTCAATCAACAGAGACCATGGAAAACCCTTTAATCTAGAGAGAAATTACAGGACAAACCGGGAAAAGGAAAAAATTGAGACAAAATTCCCAATTTTGCACTGTGAAAACCCTTCCAAACGTTTGATGGAAAAACCCAGTCCTCCTAGAGATTTAAAACTGTAGTGTAAATTGTACCTTATGAACCCGCGAAAACAATCTCTTGTATTACCTTGCGATCTGTGGCCTTTTTGCTTCTTTCTTGAGTCTCTGTTCAACACACCATCATCACTAGCATACCCACAAAGGACAGCCTGCACCACTTACCCTACAAAAATAAATAGACACGTTAAGGGCCTGTTTGGTTGGTGTTTTACTTTGGTGTTTTTGTTGTCGGGCTTCATTTCAGGCCCAAAAACATGTTTAGTAGCACTTGTTTTGTTTTAAACAGTAAAAAATAATGTTTTAAACAGTACCAAATTTTGGCCCAAAAGTGAAACACCAAATTGGTGTTTTTTGTTATTTTAACACTGTAGCCCAATAAAAAGCACTGTAGCGGATGAAACAGTCGGCCCAATTTGTTTCAGCTATATAAACATTTTAGGTTATTTTTGCACAAATTTTCTCTCTCCTCTCCCGATACGCTCTCTACGATTTAAGGGCGATTTCCAATCGCCTCCATCTCTATTCTCGTTCTCTACTCTGAACTTGCCCAAATCTACAAGAATCAGAAGTTCAGAACCCATTTATTTCAGTTTATCTATCTGTCTGCAAGAATCAAAACCTATTATCACCGGAGTTTAACCCACCACTCTCTTCTCTCTCTCTAAGCCATTGTTCATGTAGAGGTATGGTTCTCTTTTTTGATCATCAACCCATTTTTGTATATTTTGTAGTGTTTATCTTATCAAAACCCTAGGATTCCACCGCCCTACCCGCCACTCTCTCCTCATTTCTCTCCCTCTCTAAGCCGTTGTTCATGTAGAGTTATCGTTCTCTTCCTTGATTATCAACCCATTTCTGTACAACTGTGCAGGCTTGATCATATCGAAGTCTTTTATTATTTTTAGGGTATTTTCTGTTTCTTTTCTCTTTCTTTGTCTTCTTGAACTAGTTTTCCAGATTTGTTGTTTTTATTTCTACTAATTACTTGATGCTTTCTTTGTTTTTTGTTTGGTACTATTTCAATTAATGTGCCATTGTGTTGTACTTTTGGCTAATGCAACTCAAATTGATATTTTCATCACTCAAATTATATAATAATTAATACGGAGGTCATTTGTTTTAATATGTTATATATCTAGATATGAAAATTTGACATTGGTGATGTCTTGTAAAGTTGTTCACTTGCATTCTTGCATCCAAAATCCAATTGCATTGTTGAGTTTGAATCCATAAGGATGAACTCATAAGGACATATGAGACACATAATGAATACTGGGTTTTCCCCTTTTTAGATGGAAAAGCTGAACCCAAAATTTTAGGACGTTTTGTAAGCAAAAATTGAGCAAAATTGCTGCGATAGAGCTTATATGAATTGAGAATCAAGATCAAGGGCAAAAGAATAACCTGGAACAGGAGATTCGTAAGAATCGAGCCAGGTTAGATGGACGTGGTTCAAAGAGCTAGTGCTCGTTTAAGACTGACTGAAAGATCAGGATGAAGCTCTGAAAATACGATTATAATGTGAATCATTGCATTCAAATTATTTAAATTGCTAATTCAAGAACTTTAACTCAATAGAAAACTGTTTTAGGGAAAAAAATTCGCTTGAGTAGTGAATTAGAGTGCAGATGTATATAATATGGATTGATCCACTTTGTTTGCTTGTACACTTGTATTGTAGCTTAGATAGGTAGCTAAGTGTACTTCAATATTTTATGATGTAATTATTTTCAAAGAGGTGCAATGTCTTTATTTATTTATTTATTTTATATTGTTTTGTTTTTATAATTTTAGGGCATCACAAAGCATGTTAGACAAGGAATCAGAATTGTTTGCATTAATAATTACGGTTATCTCGGCCTTGATCAGAGTTATATGTGGCATAGCACCTTGGACCCTTATTAAATGCAGTACACGTGCTTACAAATTACTTTTGTTATGCATATATTATTTCCTAAAATATATTTTGGCTACTCTTTCAGGCAGATTTGTATCTAGCACCTCAAATTCATGCAGCAATCAAAAGGTTCAACATCTCGCTCAATAATTTACATGCAATTTATAACTCTGTTTCAAGTGATTGCATATAAGTTGCATGTCTGAACTTTAGCACTTCCATGTACTAAATACACGGTTTTACCAAATGAAAGTTGGTTATGCTGTTTATATAAATTATAATCTTACAGAATAGAATTTTTTTTTCTTTCTCCTTTGATTGAAAGTCGTCTTATATTAGTTACTTTATTCTTTTTGCTATTTTTTGGTTATAAAAACAGTAAAAAACACCCTAGTGCAAGAATGTATTATAAATATTATTTGTTTGATTATGTAATGGTTACAATTATAGAAGTTCTTGCACTTTGCTGAACCTATGCCTTCAAAGACCTTGCCCATAATAATCGTGGCGGGAACAGTCTCTTTGGCCTCGTATATCATGTTTCTTTAATGGAAAATCCTTTATTTTTTGGGATGCTCCAGTTTCTTGATCTACCAACTAGTACTAGCAATGATTATTTGATCACTTTTAAGCACAATATATAAACCATTACACTTTCCTTGCATTCTCTACTTGCATGTGCTGCTATTTTTATAAATTTGCAACTTAAAACCTTTTGTTCCTTGATGGTTTCTGCAGACTCAGTTCCCTTTTCTATCTACGTTTAATGAGGCACACAATGGGCTTCCTGCCTTCCAAGATGCAATGCCAAAAAAGCAGCTTGATACACCAGTTAGGCATTTGGTTGAGGTAAGGGTTGTTCTTCATGATTGTATGGCATATAATTTCTTTGGGTTAGGAAATTCTCAAATATCAGATATTTACTACTTGTCTACTTTGATAATGCACATTCATTCATCTCATTTTTATAACCACTTTTCCGACAGCCTTGAGTCATTCATCTCATTTTTATTTCATCTCTCGTTACTTCAAAAGGTATTAAATCAAAACTCTCATTTTGATTAAAAGTTTAACACTTTTTTATGTAAAAAAACTCTTGTAGGTCATTTTGAATTCAAAACACTCTCATTCATTGAAAGCTACCTTGAATCGAGTCATTTCTTACTCAAAACTCTTAATTTTACTCCAATTTTCTAACTTTTTACATCCAAACACTCTCGTTCCTTCCAAAGGTGCCTTGCATTTGGTCATTTTTAACTTAAAGCTATCATTTTCACTCAAAGTTTTTAACTTTTTACATTAGACACTCTCATTCCTTCAAAGTATCTTTAACAAGGTCATTTTCAACTATAAAATCTCATTTTGACTCAAAGTTTGAAACTTTTTACATTGAAATTCTTTCGTTCCTTCAAAGGTACCTTGAATAAGGTCATTTTCTACTAAAGCCTCTTATCTTCTCTCCAAGTTTCTAACTTTTTACATCAAAACACTCTATTTTCTTCAATTGGTACCATGTATAAGGTTATTTTTAACTCAAACCTCTCATTTTCAATCGAATTTTTGGACTTTTTACATTAAACACACTCATTCCTTTAATTGTGTCTTTAAAAAAGGTCATTTTTAACTCTAAAATCTCATTTTCACCCAAAATATCTAACTTTTTACATCAAAACACTCTTGCATACTCAAAGATACCTTGAGTAAGGCCCTTTTTATTTCTAAACATTCATTTTCACTCAAGGTTTCTCTTTTTTCACATCAAAACACTTTTTTACTTCAAAAGGGACCTTGCATAAGGTCATTTTTAATTCAAATCTCTCATTTTCACTAAAAGTTTTGAAAATTTTACATTAGACACTCTCATTCCTTCAAATGCGTCTTTAACAAAGTCATTGTTAACTCGAAACTCTCATTTTCTTTCCAAGAGTTTAACTGTTTACTTTCAAAACACCTCGTTCCTTCCAAGCTACCTTGAATAAGGTCATTTTTAACTCAAAACTCTTAATTTTACTCCAAGTTTCTAACTTTATACATCAAAACTCTCTCGTTACTTCGTAAGTTTTTAGAATAATTTCATTTTTAATTCTAAACTCTCATTTTCATTCCATGTTTTTAACTTTTTACATTAAAAAATTCTGGTGCCTTGAAATCAATAAGGTTATTTTTAGTTCAAAGCTCTCATTTTCATTCGAAGTCTCAAACTTTTTACATCAAAAATATCTTGTTGCTTCAAAGGTACCTTAAATAAGGTCATTTTTAACTCAAAACTCTCATTTTTATATGTAATATATTTGTTGATCCTTTTGAAAGTGATGGTATATTTTTTCTTTTATATGTAATATATTTGTTACTATTGTGAGCTTGCAATATATATATGTAATATAAATCTTTTTTACAGATATATAATTCAACTTAAATGCTATTATTGCAGATATGAAGTGTGTTGATGCTCTCTTGAAGGCCACATGTGCTGTTATGAAGATGATGTGTCGTTGCCATTATCATCCACTTTATGAACTTCTTATCAATTTTTAGTGACAACTATGTATTGTTAATGCTTTGTTCCAAACATTTTATGTACAACTTAAACTTGTTTAATTTGTTGGTTGAATATTTAAGGACTTGTAAATAGGTTATTGCAATTTTTTTTACAAATGTTGACTCTCATGTAGTATAGTAAAATGTGACTAGAGATTATTTATTTTTAATATTGAGTTGGACTATACATGTATAATGATAATAAAATTAAAGTAGGTTATTACAAATAACTTGTAAATAGGTTATTACAAAAATTAATATATATATAATTTGGTGGGGGTTTACATTTTTTTACAAAAGAGAAGGCAAGAATCTGTATTTTGGAGTTAAATTCCCACCAATGCAGGCTTATAAGAGTCGAAAATTATTATCCGAGTTGTGTAGTATTTTTTTTTTTTCTTCTTTCGCTAATGCGAAAAATGAGCAAAATGAATGAAATACAAACCTATGTACAATCATCACCAAAGGAACAAACTATACTAGGAAATTTCAAATAACTTAAAAGTGTAGTTTCAGATCAAGATAACATGCTGTGTGTGTGTGTGTGTTTGTGTGTTCAAATTTTAATATATTTATTAAAAATATATAGACTATTTATATAGAAATAAATTTATAAATAAATTTAAAATTTATAAAAATAAATTAAAAACAATGATAACCAAACATGTTTTTTGTTTCTGTTTTATTTTGTTTACAACAGTTGGAGTTACCAAACATGTTTTGTTTTTAAAATTCTTGAAACGCATGACTTACCAAACATGTTTTGCATGTTTTTGTTTCCGACATTTCTATAGTAAAAGATCGTTCCCAAACGTGCTTCCGATTTTTGCCAAAACACTCCAATTGTAAAAACGCTATTTCTGTTTTAGCCAAAAACAAAACGCCTAAAGTAAAACGCATGTCAAACGGGCCCTAAGTGCTTGGACCTCCATATAGAGGTGACTTTCTTAGGGTTGTGATATGAAGTGCTCCAGCATGGAATGTGAGCCAGCCACATAATGGGATGAATGAGACATCCACGGTCTATTAATAAATCTTATGTAAGAGAGAAAGGAAATAGATATTTTTAATTATTTTTATAATTATATTCAATAATATTTATAATATGATAATTTATAAAAAAATATTATAATTTAAAATTTATATAATTTATGATAATATTTAATTTAAAATATAATTTATATTTACATTTTTCAAAATTTGGGTCAATATTATTTAACGGCCGGTCAATGCAATAATTTACATTGACACCCTTGAGTTTCAAAAGTTATATTCACTTTGAATCTATTAATTAACAAAAAAAACTCTAATCAATATTATGTAATCCCCTCTCACCTACCACCGCCACACCCACACACTGCCAGTGCACACCACCACAACCAAACACGCCACACCCGTCGCCAGAACCACAACCACAACCACATAACACAACGCCACACCAACAACGCCACACGCAAACACACCACACCGCTGCCATATCTACACAACGCCACACCCACCTCCACACGCATAACGCTACAGGGTCAAAGAAGACAATCGGTCGCACCCACACCCACACGCACACCACCACAACCACCTCCATACCCACACACCCATACACTGGCCGAGCAAGTTGTTGGACCACTAAGCAAGATCTAACCCTACCCACGGTGAAGAGAAGAACGACGATTGGGTGGTGGCAGCGAATCGGATCATTTTCTTCCTCAGATTGCCGCCATACGCACTTTCGCGCTCTCCACGCACTACTGCGCGTAGATTTAACGCGTTTTCACGTGCGCATACATTACTTTCTTCTTTAATGATTCTAGTCTTCTTCACACCCTCTGCAATTATCACCAACTCTCTGACGCCGACAAGCATCAAAGACGCCGCTGCCCTCTGCTGCCGCTATTCTCTGTTTCTCTACACCATCAACACCATCAACTCCTATCCTTTAATAAGGAATTACAATAGTGCGAGCGAATAAACAAGTCTTAGCCACCGCCTCCTCTTTTGGAGGAAGCGCAAAGAGAACCAAAAACGACGACAGAACTTTGGAGGATAGAGGTGAATAGTGTAGGGTTAGAGAGAGAATGTAAAATGAAGGGTATTTTGGTCCTTCAAAATCTAATTTAGAGGGTTATATTAGTAATTTATACTTTTTATGTATTTATTGACTAAGTCAAATATTAAAATAGTCATTTTCTCAAGTAAAGGGGATGTGTATGAACAGTTTTTGAAACCTTAGAGATGTCGATGTAAACTAGTGTGTTGACCGGCCGCTGAGTGGTGTTGACCCAAAACTCATGTGTTGACCGGCCGCTGAGTGGTGTTGACCCAAAACTCAGTAGGTATGAGTGAGTGCAAATTACCCTAATTTAAAACAATCTACTTGTCTTCCCTCCTTTCTTCAATTTATTTTTGAGTAGATGAAAATATGTTAAGAAAGAAGATGAATTATTCTTCTGCTTGTATCCTTCCTTCATTCCTTCCGACCAGCATTAAGGTTTTACCCATTTGTTAGAAATAAAGTTTTTGTTGTTCGAATCTACATTTCGGTAAAAAAAAACTATTTATGTGATTCTTGATGTTATTAACCTATAATATATTCTAACTGAGAGAGAACTTGTTATTTTGATGATGGTAAAAAAGAATAAAAGAAATTGAATTACACTTGCGTGATTTTTCACTTTTGGGTTTTCATCAAAAAAAAATAAAAAATAAAAAATCATCGATTGTACTCATTGGACGTGTTGATTTGATTTGCTAGTTTGGTTAATTTATTTGATTTGGGTAACATTCGGGTGACCTTCAAGAATTAATGATTGAAAGTAGTACTATTCCTAAAATTCACCGATAACATCAAAATGGTTTGTTTGTTTGGGCTATAATATATTTTTTTTAAATGATTTTTCTTTTTTTAAGTAAAATATTATTTTATTTTATTTTTATTTTTATTTTTTTGAGATTTGACAAAGGTTTAGAACATATAAAATAATTTAAGAAAAATTAATGAATAAATTATTTTTGTTAAATATTTTTAAAAAATTTATTATAAATATATTACAACAATCAAACATTAAAAAATAAAAAAATATATATATTTTACATCCAAACTTTTTGTCAAATAAAAAGTGCTCTTGCACTGTCTGACCTTATTGTGAATAGTAGATAACCTTACTTTTATTGTCATCTTTAGAGAGACTTTTCGGAATTCGAACCCACAACATTGGCCATAACAATGAACATCATATCTAATGTGTAAAAAAAAAAAAAAATCATATCTTATACACAAGCATACATTAGTAAGCAAAATCTGCATACACTGTAACACAAACCAAATTATAATAAACACAAGTGTACAAACTTTAATCTATGCTATTTACCATACTGGATCATCTGCTTATTCAAATCCCCCAAGCTTCTGAACTATATTCCCAACCTTTTTGTGTACTCCAAGTGGGCATCATAGATATGTTGCCGATCAGGAAGAGACTCGGACACACTTCCTCTCTCCATGCACCTCTTGCCCCATGCCACTAACTTGGGACACTCTGCTTCAAAGCTCAAGTTTGCAAAGGACTTGAATATCATAAACCAATTATAAAAGGGTACAAGAGCAATATCCACAAACCCAAATGTCTCTCCCCCAAAATAAGGCTTCTCACCAAGCTCTCCCTCCAACAACTTGGCCCATTCCACCAATTCTTTCTTTCCTGTTTCAAGCTCCTCTCCTTTGCTCAACCATATCTTCCTACTAGATCCATGTACCTGCTCTCAATTTGTATGATGTCAATATGTTGGATGATGGAAATTTTCTTGGGAAATCAGGAAATATTTTCTAGGAAAACAAATGGAATTAGAAGAAAGAAAATTATACCTTAGTGTCAATGAAGTTGGTCCAGAACCTTGCCTTTGCTATGAGGTAAGGATCAGAGGGAAGCAAAGGAGGTTTGTCCTTCCAAACCTCATCGATGTATTGTATTATTATGTTGGATTCACAAATTGGTTTACCGTTATGAATCAAGACTGGAATTCTTGCATGGATTGGGTTCATCTTCTTAAGCAGAGGACTTTTGTTGTCCATGTCCTCGTTCTTCCGTTCGTAGTCGATCCCCTTCTCCGCTAGGGCGATTCTCGTCCTCGTCCCAAAAGGACTAGGCCAGTAATCTAACAGAACTACTCCACTTGCCATTTTTATGCAAATGGAAAAGCTTAAAAATAACCTAAAATTGGGGGGATTAAACCTTCTGGTTATGGCTTCAGATGAAATGAAATGGAGTGAGAAGAAATATGTAGAAAAGGTTCCAACAGAGGTTGGTTTGATTTGCTTAGGATGAATATCAAAAAGCAATCAGCAACAACAATGAACCTAGTAGAAAAGTTCAACTTGTATTCTGACTTTAAGTCACCTATTATAAAATGTGGAGAGTAAATAGACTGATCACAAATTCACAACCAGTCAAATTAATTAAGCGTCCTTTTTAAACCAGAAATAATCTATATTCATTCTATTTCGGTTCTGCCAAAAGAAACCCTGTCAAACACACACCCCACCCACACAATTCACCTTAACCCTTTTAAGGACACCAAACATACATTTTAGGAGACGGAGGACTGACCACGCAGTTGTAGAATATATAGTCAGCAACTATAATAATTTGTGTAAATGTGTAATATGTATACATAAAATTAAATATATATAAACACCTCATAAATTTTTTAATGATACTTCCTGCAAAAAATTACAGGGTTTATCTGACTTTTTCACATAAAATTTTATGAATCAAAACAAGATTATTCATTTTTATAGGCTTCAATTAGTAATTTCAAGTACCGCAAACCCGTTGAGGGGTAATATGGTCAATTTTGGCCCCGGAGGTTTATTCTAGGGTTCAAATTGCAAACTTTGTCCAAACTTGAGGAAGGTCTGGTAATTTAGCCTTTTTGAACAAGTTTTAGGGAAGTTGCAAGTCGAAGAGAGACAAGAAGAAGAAGAGTAAACTCAAAAGAGAGAGAGCGCTAAGGTTTCTTAGCATTTACAGTAACATCGCAATTGATTTTCGGCTAGTGAGCCCAAAACCTTTGTAATGCCGGGTACACATTCCCTTCTCTTGATTTGGGTCAATCTTATATTGAGATCCCATTATAATTTTATTATCTTCTCAAACGTATCTGCAAAATCAATTGTTTTGCATAATTGAAACGATGATCAGAGCAAGAAGTGGCAAAGATTGGGAGGAGAGGTAGAGCCGCAGTGGTGGTTCTCGGCGATATTGGCCGCAGCCCTCGAATGCAGTACCATGCCCTTTCACTTGCCCGTCAGGTATTCGTCATTTACCAAGCTCATTACACAAGCATATATATATATATATATATATATATATGATCTTATCAGGATGAAGAAACACATAACTTTTAATTGTGTTTGCTAGCAAAAAGAATTACGCTTCTGATATTTTGGCCTAGTAGAGTTTTTTTGGCAAAGTTGAAATTCGGAGCTGTTTGAATTGCGCTTGCAATTAAAACTAAAAATATATAGAATTGAGTCTATTTATGTAAGGAAAATGTTATGAAAAGTGTTCTACACACTGCTCGACAAACACTATTTGATTCATCACAGCCAACACTTTTCTAGCAGCTCTACATTGAAAAGTCTATTTGTTTATTACAAGACAAGCAGTCAAGCACATACTGACTGGCTGCGAAGTGAAAGTTGAAGCCTATTTTCAAGGCCAATGTAGATTAGTGGGGCTTCTAAAAATAGAGAATATCGAGGAGAGTAATTTTGAAAGGTTACATAAGCGTATTTTAAAGTATTATGGATGTATTACTTGAACGATAGATGAATCATTCACAATTAACAAGTAGTCAATAGGAATTATGATAATTTTGTATCTGGTGAAGGATTAGCCTTTCCTATTGTGCTAGTTCAATGAATATGAGCTTTTTATATCTTTTAAGTTCTATGGTTTTTTGATCTTACATTTTCTCCTTCAGGCATCTCTAGAGGTGGACATTGTTGCATATGGAGGTATTTTTATGAGGATTGGATTAAATTGAATTGTTATTTATCAAGATTCTAATTTTTTGGTTGAATTGCTGCCTGGCTTTCCTTTTACTTGATAATTGGAGTGCAATTAGAATTTGAGGAATATGAATTACTAGCCAATTTCAAGGCTTTGTTGAGGGTAACTAACTGGGATGCATAATTGTCATTCAGACTAAAACAAGGAGTCTAATCTAACTATTTAAGTTTGATACTTTTTTTTTTTTTTTTTTTTTTTTTTTTTTTTTTTTTTTTCTAGAGATTTAGTTTGACTTGGATCATGGTTGATATTTTAAGCTTATGGAGTTGAACTAGGCAAATAACTAATCAAACTAATTTTTGTTAATTGCAAGAAACAGATTCAATTCATTAACTCTTTAAATAATTCATTTTCTTTTATTTTATTTTATTATTATTTTTTTTTTGACATGATTAGATTTTAAAACTCAGCTCAACAAATCTTTACCTTGCTATTTGGACTAAGAAGTTGGCAACATAAACTCTTTTTCAGGGTTTTATTTTATCAAGGGCTGTATTTTTTAGTAATTATGGATAATATATGCAATTTGGTGCTTATAGTTTAGCTTTTTAAAATGTGCTCCCAAATACAAGTGGATAAGGTATGAGCTCCCGAGTACAAGTGGAGACATGTCATATGCATGGCGACTTAAATCACACCACTGGACTGATGTCACAGAAATGCAAAGAAAAACAAAATTACTGGATAATTTTTATTTTAAATTAACATATTCTTCGGAGTCACCAGACCTATTTAATTGGTGCAAATATTCTATATGCTAGACTCAAGTGATTAAATGATTCTTGAATACATCTAGATACAAAAGTAGAAATGTTTGAAATGTTATCCCGAATCTCTGCAAAAATTAAGCTGAGTAACTTGATTTTTTGTTGGAAGATACATTTATCATTTTTTTATGTTTTTATCTCCTAGTGCTTTACTAATTCTGATGATTAATTTATTACCTTTAAATGCTTGGATAGGTTCTGATCCCCACTCAGCTTTACTAGAGCACCAATCAATCCATATTCACACAATGGTACTTATTGTACTTGAATCTTTCTAGATTGAATGCTTATGAAACTTCCAAATTGGTTCTATAATTTTTTCCTTTCTTATTTCTTATTTCTGGTTCTGCAGACCCAGTGGCCAACGATCCCTCGGAATTTACCAAAGATACTTTATCCACTGATGCTTTTGCTCAAGCCATTGATTCAGTTTCTTATGCTTCTATGGTTTCTGTGTGTTAAAATACCTGCTCCTGACGTTTTTATAGTACAGGTGAGCTTTGAAACTTCCACTTAGATGAGATGGAGCTATTTAAATTTTGAAGACCTTCAGAAGTTATATAGATCTAGTGGCTTTTCATTTTACCTGATATTTTTTGTAAGTACAGATAGAAATTCTACTGCATTGTGTAACTACTTAAGTGGTAAGTGGTGACATGAAATCATTGTTAGTATACAAGGATGACCAAAATCTGTCATTGTGTTTTGCAGATGCATAATTAAAACTACTTGTGTATCATCTGATGTGTATTATTTTCATGTGTTGACATTACTGTTCTTCCTTCTGACTTCTGGCCAAAAAAAAAAAAAAGAAAGTATTTCAGTTTTCTCTTGGTCATGGATTTTATGTGCCCAGCAGGGTATTATTTAATTTCTTGTCTCTCAAAAAATAGTTGGCCCCTTATCTGCAAAGTGTAGATGTGTTTGATACCATGATTCGAGTCAGAGTTTACTAATTAAATTGGATTGCTTGTGCCCTATATTCTTCAATTATTATCTCATTCTAATCCATGTGGTGTTTACATGTGTAGAATCCACCTTCTGTTCCAACCTTAGTGGCTGTAAAGTGGGCCAGCTGGCTGAGGCGTTCCACTTTTATTGTCGATTGGCATAACTTTGGATATACTCTGTTGGGATTGTCTCTCGGAAGAAGTAGTCATTTCGTGACATTATATCATTGGTATCTATTGGCTGCCTTTTGAACTTCTTCTTCCCTTATATATATTTTGAGGGTCTGTCGTTTGCTGTACAACAGAAGTTTGAGCTTTTGGCATCTAATTAGGTTTGAGAAGCATTTTGGGAAGATGGCAAATGGTTCCTTATGCGTGACAAAGGCAATGCAGCATGAATTGGCACAAAACTGGGGAATTAAGTAAGAGGGACAGCTCAAAGTTTGCAATATACTTCATTCTACTTGTTCATGTTTCCTAGTAGGTGTCTCATGGTAATTCTGTGTTCTCTTTGTGTTTCGAAATTACAGAGCCACAGTTCTATATGATCAGCCTCCAGAGTTTTTCCGTCCAGCTTCCATTGAGGAGAAGCACAAGGTGAACCAAAATTTTCATTGCAAAGTTCTCATCAGGAGAAAAGAACATTGACTTGAAGAATTAAATGTGAACTGTGGATTCTAGTTGTTTTGTAGGATTGATAAATATGTCAGTCAACCTTATGGTCTTCGGGATTGCATCAGCAATGGTAATATGAAATGATAAAGTAATTCTGTACTTATTTTTACTAAGGTTGAGTTTGAGTCAACATTACTTTTGGTGACGTATTGCAGGAATTACAGAAATGGGGAGCCCTGATTCAAATGAAACTTTGTTTACAACCCAGGTTGGCACGGACATTTTGTTGAAGCAAAACAGGCCTGCGCTTATTGTTAGCAGCACAAGCTGGTGAGTTTTTGTATATGTAGTTTATTCAATCTGAACTATGTATGGTTTTTATTTTATCATATGAAGTTCATTAAAAGAGTGTCAGAGGGGTTGCACGCGCACACAAAGTATACAAGAGTGAACCCACAACCAAAAAACTAAGAAAGCATATGGAAATTTAAATTATGTACAAAATCCATGGAGGTATCTTAAGAGGGATTTGCCCTCTCTGCAGTCCAGCTGAACAACAATTTCTGAAACTCCTGTTTCTACCTAAGAATTGGTATCTCTTCCATAATCTTATTATCTGGTTCATGATTTTCTCTGTATAGTATAGTAGCACCAAGTTTGTAATAGATTATTTCTTTTTGTAGAGTTTTAGATTTTGCATTTCTTTATTTTTTTATTTCTTATTCTTCTGTTTTTGAAACATAATTTTAGGCTTTGCAATTTGTTTTACTGATTAATACAACATACATAAGAAAACAAGGTTATTCCATTGTCAGTTTTGTTGTGTGCAAAGAAATTTAGGTGACAAGGTTTGATCACGTGCTTTAATTGTCCTCAGAAGCAATAAAATATGTTCTGTTAACAATGCACCCTTAACACAATTGATTTGAACATTTTATGATCTTCAATTTGAAAAATCGCAAAATGGATTTGCCTTAATCTTAGCCAG